ACACACACACACACACACACACACACACACACACACACACACACACACACACACACAAACAAACATCAGAACTTCGCTTGATTATTAATCATTTTTTCAGTCGTATAACGTCCACTTTACTTGACGACCACTGGACATTAGTTCGTGCGTCAGGGGGAGGAATGCTCGTTCTTGTCAGTGATATTTGGCATTTTGAGAATCTGGCATTTTGCTAATCTGGCATTCTGCGAATCTGGCATTCTGTGAATCTGGTATTTTGTGACTGGCATTTTGCGAATCTCATATTCTGCCCGTTTGTCATTTTGCGTTTCTGGCATAATGCGTCAAAACGGACGGATGAACCAACACACGGAAGAAAAAGTGGAAGAAAAAGGATTTTGAGAACGATTCAAAATTTATAAGTGGCCTGGAACCATTAAAGAGGGTGATAAAAAGGTGGGATGACGATGAACGAGGTTAGCATCGTCACATGCGCATGCGTTTGAACGGTTAAATTACGGCTTGATACTATGGAGCAACAGTACCTAGGTGAATGATTTCTTATTTTACAGAAAGAGTGTGTACGCATCCCTACGAATATCAACAGATGGAATCTTGTAGACCACACTTTAAAAATTTCTACGTAATTCTATGAAATGGCTAAATTAAAATTTGTATTGAATTGATATTTTTTTGTGCAATTACTCAACTAGTTTGTTATAATTATTAATATAAAGATCGATAACTTAGAAAAAATTCCTTCGATCCGGCGGGATTCGAACCGACGTCTTCGAGCAAACCGTGGCAGACGCTATGCCAACTAAGCCACGGAACGAACCAGCGGACCTCACGAATTGTTCTATGTGCAGATCTTAGTTTATGGTTATTAATGACTTTTTTGCCGTGGCGGTATCTGTGAGAAATCTATTTCTTCATTTAGCCAGGTACCTTTACAGCTACCATCACCTGACTAGAGATGGTTTATTGAATGTCACGATGTTTTACGTAGTTGGTTATAATTATTAATACAAATATCGAACACTAAAAGAACATTACTTCAATCGGCTAGATTCGCATCTAATTATATTTTACATTATATATTTTGTAATGTATATACAATAATCAGCGACTATACTCCGTCAAACCATTTATTTCACTTTTGACATATTCATGTCTCCGAAGTTCCGAATTATTGACATACAACCATAGGCAAAAAATGCAATACTTCCTGGACTCTTTTATTTTTTAATTTTAGTGAAGCGACGTGCTCTTTATCTCATTTAGAGAGTTCGTTCACCTTAGTAGCAGAAGACCGCCACCACAGGATGCTACGGAATCAGTGAGTGACATTTTAATACCTGTATGGAACAAAAACTCAGTAAAATAGTAAGTTATAATTGTAAGAACATAAAACGTAGCGCCGAATGTGTAATATCTTTGTGCAAGGATTGTGAAGGAAGGATGTGGTAGCGTTACAGGAGCATTGGTTGCTGCCGCAGGATCTACCATTTCTTAGTGAAATTGACAGAGATTTCAGCTATACTGGAAAGTCCGGGATGGAGCCAGTAGCGGGCATAATACAAGGTCGGCGTGACTTTATTGTGGCGAAAATGTGCGTTTTAACATGTGTCAGTCGTTTCGTGTAATACTGAACGTATTGTTGCTATTAAAGCAACTACAAGTGATATTCGCGTCTTTGTGATCGTGTGTGTTTTTATGCCTGTTAATAAGGCTTATATGTATAATATAATATAATAATAATAAATTTGCTTATGTTTACGGAATGTTTAGCAAATATAGTAGCTATAGCAGAGGTATGTAACACAGACTGCGTATATATATTATGACTTTAATGCTCACACAGAGACACTATTTTATAGGGAACTTATGTGTTTTTGCTCTGAAAGACTATGGGTGTGTGCGGACAAGGAAATAAATAATGTACTGAACAAGCACACATTTGTCTGTCAGGCCACAGGTAGCAGGAGGTGGTTGGATCACTGTCTAACTAGTCAGGCTGCATGACTTACAGTTACAAGTGTTAATATAGTATATGATGTGTACTGGTCCGACCATTACCCTCTAATAATATAATGTAATCTTGGTTTAATTAGATCTAGACCTAATGTAACCTAAAACAGTTCAAATAGTGTTAGATGGGGGCTTAGGAGCCTAGAAGTAATTGCTAAATATTTAGAATTTGTAATACTCAATTAAAATGTGTAGACTTTCCCTGTGAATTTAAAAAAATGTGCAGACAGAATGAAGTCAGTCACAGACATGTTATAGATAAGTTCTATGAAAACATTATTTCTATTATAAGACAAGCATCCATAACAAGTCGTAATCGAGAGGCAAAAAACTGTAATAAATTTATATTTAACCCAAAACACATTTATATGTGTTATGGGGTGGAACAAACACGGAAGCCTGAGAATGGACCCATATTTGAAAAAATGATTTTAAGTCGTAAAATATTTAAATTAAAGCTTAGGTACTGTCAGCAAAAACAAGATCAAATCAAAATTGACATACTTGCATTGCAGCACTCAGCTAAACAGTTTGACAAATTTTGGAAAAGCACAAAAATTTTAATGGTAGGGTGGAATTACCAGTTAGTGTAGAAGGCATAAGCGATACAAAGAGTGTTGCGAATATGTTTAAAGATCACTTTAAGATTGAACCGTCTTTGCCAAGCTCTGAGGTGTCTGATGCTGACCCCTGTCATGTGGAGCAGCCTATCAAAATCACTGCCAAAGATGTCAGATTGGCAATTAATAATATGAAAAGAGGCAAGTCTCCGGGGCATGATGGGCTCAGTATTGAGCATCTGAAACATGCAGGGTCACACATTAACAGAGTTTTGTCTTTGTTATTTACTTTTTGTGTAAGACACTCATATTTACCACCGGATCTGATGAAGACTGTAGTTATCCCGTTTGTTAAGAACCGTACTGGTGACACGGCCATGACATGTGATATAGATCAATCTCACTAGCGACAGTGACAGCTAACGTTCTGGACAGGATATCAGATGTTCACCTAAGTGACCAAATACTATTACACGACTCGCAATTCGGCTTTAAAGACGAGAGATTGCCATTTTGTCACTAAAATATGCTGTTGATTACTATATCAAAAGAGAGACCCCGGTATACGCCTGCTTTTTAGATCTTTCAAAAGCTTTTGACCTAGTGTCATATGTTATTCTCTGGACAAAATTGAAGAAAGCGGGCACATCACCTAAAGTAGTTGGTATTTTCTCACGTTGGTATAGTAATCAAAAGAATGTAGTAAAATGGGCAAATGCTCAATCTGATGAGTATGTTTGGAGCTGTGGCGTTAGGCAAGGGATATTAACCTCGCCTAGACTTTTTAATTTGTTTGTTAATAACCTGATTGGAGAGCTGAGCAGCATGCATGTCGGATGCCGTATTGACAACACAATCGTTAATAACATTAGCTATGCGGACGATATGGTGTTGCTCAGCCCTTCAATCAGTGGTATAAGACGACTTATATGTCATTGTGAGACCTATGCTGTGCAACACGGTTCAAAGTACAACGAGAAAAAGAAAGAGTTCTTGCTGTTTAAGGGTAAAATTAAAGAACCAGCCTATGTACCATGAATACTTTTAAATGGAGTACCATTGAGGCGTGTTGCACAGTTTAGGTACTTGGGTCATATTGTGACAGAGGACCTAAAGGATGAGGGAGACATAAAGAGGGAGCGCTGGGCGTTGTCGGTTCGAGGCAATATGTTGGTTCATAGACTCACAAGGTGTATGACTGGAGTGAAGCTCACACTCTGTAGAGCATACTGCCAGTGCTTCTACACGTGTGCTCTATGGTCCAACTTTAGCTGAGATAGTACGGCGCCTTGCGAGTCCAGTATAATAATACCTTCAGGGCCTTGTTGAAGCTTCCCCGTTTCTGTAGCGCATGTGGCATGTTTGTGGGTGCTGGCATGGATGATTTCTATGCCATCATGCGCAAAATGTCCACTTCGTTAGTACGAAGGGCGAGGGGTAGCAACAACGAGATCCTGAAGATGATAGCAGGCAGGATGGATGCAGCTGTGTTCCGGAAGTTCACTGAGTTGCATGTTCTACGTGTGAATCAGTGAAGCATCTGGGTGGCTGGGTTCGCCCTGTTTGTTATATAGGGTTTTTCAATAAGAACTTTGTTTTGTAAATCAAAATAAAACAATAAATTTAGATGACAATGATTCAAATTTTTATTGTATTAATAAAAGTAAGGTTTGGCAATTATTAATGAAAAATGATATCTGATAAATGTCCACCACGACCACAGTTACAGATGTCGATTCTTTCCATAAAGTTTTTAATCATTTTTTGAGAAAGTGGTGGGTTTATTTGGTTAATCACTTCAAAAATTGTGAGTTTTAAGGCTGCAATCAATTCGATTGGCTCCGTATAGACTCTGTCTTTAACATAACCCCATAAAAAATAATCCAGCGGTGTTAAATCATATGATCGAGCTGGCTACTTAACGGCTGAATTTCGTGAAATTATCGGGAAATTTGGTTTGCAATAAATTAATTCATTGTTTCGGTGGCAATGTGACTTGTGCCGTTGGCATTGGGCCGTTTTTTTCGAAAATTCGGCTGGAAATGCGGTAACGGTGAATGGATCACGCTATCGCGAGATGTTAACAACTCAATTTTGGCCTAGCATTGATGACATGGATATCACGACATGTGGTTTCAACAAGACGGGCATGTCACACAGCCAATGAGACGATCAATTTATTGCAAACCAAATTTGCTGATCGCGTAATTTCCCGAAATTCAGCTGTTAAATGGCCAGCCAGATCGTGTGATTTCACACCACTGGATTATTTTTTGTGGGGCTATCTTAAGGACAGAGTCTATACGGAGCCAATCGAATCGACTACAGCCTTAAAACTCAAAATCCGTGATGTGATAGCCGAAATAGACCCGACATTTTGCCAAAAAGTGATTAAAAATTTTGATGAAAGAATCGACTTCTGTCAGCGTGGTCGTGGTGGACATTTGCCAGATATCATTTTTCATTCATAATTGCCGAACTTTTCTCTTTGTAATACAATAAAAATTTGAATCATCTTCATCTAAATTTTTTGTTTTATTTTGTTTTAGAAAACAAAGTTCTTGTTGAAAGACCCTATATTTGTAACTAATTATTAGGTATTATTTTTTCGATTGAGTACTAATCCTAATACTAACAATAATAAGGTGTCATGTTACTAACTTGCTAACTTGTATGGACTACATTGTCTGAAATAAATGGTTTTTATTTTATTTATTATTTAATTTTTTAGCTACGATTTTTATCGAACCAACAGATTATGTAACAAAGATTATTCAAGTTGGTAAATTTTGATACTGTCTAATAAATTATAATGAAATGAAATAAATTATTAATAATTATAGTATATTCTTATTGTTTTTTACAATGGATCGTCGGATTCTTCCCCCATATGAACGGGAATAATCACTTAAATTTAACATTAATTATTAATTCTTGAGTACACAAATTGTCAAACGCAATATCACCATCCCAGTCAGACAAGAGACAAGATCTTTTTTTGGAACCCGCTCACATTTACGATTAAAACTTCTTCATAAGTAAAATCGATTGTTATAAAAAATCAAATCGGAAACGCTTTAGCACATCACTAATAGATTAGAATTCGAGCTGTCAAAAGTTAAATAAATGGTTGGACCTTAGACTATTCCTTTATTTTTTTCCATCCTCTAAGGGTTGGACAGAGTATAGGCGCAATAAGGGGTGTCATACCAATAAGTACTTGTGAAATGGAACTTGTATTGTTATGACTTTAATTTTGAATAAATAAATATTATTTTTCAAAGAAAACGTTGAGGGAAGCATCCTTATGACCGATTTAGTCATGAATCAATTAAGAAACTTTAGTGGATTGATAATTCGCCTATTCACTCTTCGTTATCAATTCGTTAAGCCAGCGGTGAAATAATAACGTCAGTTAATTGCTATTAATTTGTTTGTTCACTTTTCACAGTATTAGCTCGAAAGTACAAACGATAGATCAGGTTAAAAAGGATTTTAAATGTCATGCGGCAAATTCACAGGGAATGGCCTCAAACTTGATCTGTTGATAGAGCACCTGTGTTTGTTAGAGCGGTTGCTGTGGTATCCAACGAATTTTTCTATGAGCTCGATTTTAGAATGAATAATTATAACAAATTTGTTAATACTTTTTCTGTGCAGTACCCCTGCTTGAGCTGGAACACAAGATTAATGCACTGGAGCGGGTCTACGAAAGGCGGGGAAAAAGGGGTGCGATGGGGTCACCAGGATTGCCTGGACCACCCGGAGTACCAGGTAAGAATTTTTAGTTCAATTTGTTTTGCGTGAATGAAACATAACGTGGGGTTCACTGTGTAATTTGAACTCTTCGCGGTCAAGAAAATTTTCTTTACAGTCTAACAAGGTTCAGTCTAACTTTACAGTAAAACAAAATTTTACCAAACCACTATTGGAATGACATACGAATCAGCACAGACTGATGCTTTTTGAAAAAAATAAAATAAAAGGCTATAGGGTCGTCTGAGGAATCGGCTTGAGATGGACAGAAAAAGCTTTAGGTTCATGTAAGAGTGTAAAAAACGTGCGTTTCGCGTCGGTGAGCTCAAGCGCGACGCGCTACGTTTTTGTAGTTCTTATTCCATGAACATAAAGTGGCCGCGTCGAACGCTACGTCGAACGGAGCGCAGCACCCTGACTCGCTGATGTCATAGGTCCTACATAAGCGGTCCCATTCAGCCCCCGCTCCTTTCCCGTGGTCTGCGCCACAATATGCAACGTTGTCTTGTAATTGTAACGAATACCTAATTTGTATTAGTCATTAATTAGTATAAATGGGTATTTTTAAACCTCGCGGGACTGTATTAGTAACATCATACTCAACAACTTTTGTTCCACGACTTTGTTCAAAACATAAATAAATTTACCAAAAAGAAACTTTTAAGTTTTTAGTACTATCTGACACTTTTTAGATTTGTATTTGGCAGAATAAGTTTGAACGTGCAAGCGCCTACCGCGACGACTCCACCTCAGTCCTGCACTGACTTGTTACCGTTTAGAGTGACCTATTTAAATCTATTTATGTTTCTATGAAAAATAAATAGATGAATTATTTAAAGTCGTGGATTAAAATTTGTTGTTTATGATGTTAGTAAATAGTTCTGCGAGGTTGTTAGTAAATAGTCCTGTGTATGTCATCAGACAAGTACAGGACATTTCAAACCGGCTCAAGCCGATTAATAAGTATGATGATTCCCTAAAAAAAATAAGCGGATGGATTGGCCATTCGAGACGCGGAGTACTGAACTAAATATTAGTAAAGTTGTTGAAAAACCAAATACAAATCTTTATGCTTGTTGTCGTATCTTCGACAACAAGCACAGAAAAATTCGTGAGGTCCGCTAGAGTTCGTTCTAGCGCCTGACACGCTTTGATAGAAAACGTCGGTTCGAACCCGGCCGGGTCGAAGGAATTTTTTCTGAGTGAACACTCTCTTTTGATCTTTGTATTAATAATTATAACACACTAGTGGAGTAATTTCACATATAGAATAATTGAATTCAATTCAATAAAAATTTTAATACGGTGAATAGCGACATTTCTAGTCGGGGCTGGTAGCTATAAAGGTATCTAACTGGGTGACGAAATACTTTCATAGATTTCTCATAGATGGCGCTGCGGTTAAAAAGTCGTTGAAAAATCAAATACAAAGATTTCCCGGGTCACGAGAAAAAAGGTCATTGGCTACTGCAGCCTACAGCGTCTTTTGGGCCCTAGTAGCATTGACGCCGCCTGGTTTGCCATGTCCTTGTGTGGTGTAATATTCAGTTTCATAAAAGTTTTGGTTTGGTGGCACCTTTTTCTGTCGCACAAAAGACAATTGGAACTCCCCACCAGCGCATGTATTCCCTTCCTCTTATGATATGGAGTACCGCAAACGAGGCGTGAATAGGCGTCTTCTGGGCATGCAAGGTAGAGGTGGCAAGTGCGGTGTATTTCAACATTGCTCTGGTTCCTTTACGTTTCGATTCCACTTTCCATTTAACATCAGGTTACATCATCTGCCTGTCCTGTATAAATAGCACAAGATCTAACAAAAAGAGGTATTTTTTGGGTTCAGGTCTACCAGGTGCACCAGGTCTCAAGGGCAACCCTGGCGCTTCAGGACTAAACGGGCTGCCAGGCTTACCTGGACCATTTGGGCAGAAAGGGGAAAAGGGAGTGCGAGGACCCGAAGGCATTGGACGACCCGGGCTTGATGGAATGATTGGGGCTCCAGGTATGCATTGTTAATAAATACCTACAAGTCGATCTCATAGTCACAGATATCACGGGGCATGGGAATTGAAACCCACATTATTATAATGGGAATGTTTTGGGGTCACAGTTGGTCAAAATATCATTGTAACTAGTACGGACATAGTTATTAGTTAATATAAAGACAAAGATATTATATAGGATATAGGATAGTAATAGAGAAGAGGTATTCATGGACTTTATTTTTAGGTCCTAGAGGCCCGCCAGGAATGCAAGGGAAACAAGGAGAAAGAGGCGATCCAGGCAAAGAAGGTATTGATTGGTTTTGTGCCAATACAACAACTTGGTATCATAATTAAAATAAAAACTAATTCATCTTTTCTCATGACCTAGGTCCCATGGGACCTCGAGGAGCGCGAGGCGATACTGGTACATGCCAATGTCCTTTGCCACTAAATTTACTGCAAGGGACCAACAAGGGGCCTTAAGGGTATGATGATTGGGGCGATAAAGCACTGCAAGACTTATTATTATATTTTAATATGGGTTGATACATCGATGAATTACTATAATAGCGGCCTATCTCAAAAATCGCTAATTCATCGGGAAGATGTGTTTAAAAAAAATCTGCTTATTTGACACACGAAACCGATTTATTGGTCCATTTTTCTATATTTTTGGTTCAATATTGTTACGTGATTATTTTAACCGACGGAAAGCTGGTATCTTATTTACAATCAAATTTAGCATATTATGCAAACAACTGTAATAAAGCAAAGAATGAACAAATTAGGTTTGGGTAGCCACTTTTGAAAAGCAACGATATTATGTAATTTATAACAATGTTTTTGGAATTCTGGTGAATTTGGTTGGATGTAATTAAGTATATTTTAAAATTTATTGTTTCTCTTTTTACGGGCTGCAACAAAAAGGTGTTCTAATGTATTCTTCCCTCATTATCATAACACGTGATCCACATTTTTAAACAAAATGAAAATTAATATTATGTGGGTTCTAGCGATGCGCGATTGTGAATGGTTTCGATATTCGACTCGTTAGTAATTTTATTCTCCTGTCATTCGAATGACAAGTTAGTAGTCTTTTTAAGACTTTCGTGGTTATTCACTAAATGATTATCACTAGTAACAGGTTTCTTACCACGGTATAACTTCTTTTTATTTTCTCGATATTTCGGAACGGTTGCACGCTCCATGGTCACGGGTTGACTCAATGTCCTAGTAGTACCTGTTACTAGTGATAATCAAGTTAGTAGTCTACTAATTTTCATATTCGAATGATCTGAATGAACATTCATTACTAAATAGTATTATTATTCCATAGATTCCATAGAGCATTTTTGCTCGTTATTACCTAGCCCTCTCTGACATATGGTAAATACCGTAATCGTGTCGGGGACAGGGATATTTTGATATTCTTATTTTTTTATAAGATCCAGTGCCGGGACGGACAAGTCGTGCGCCTCATGGTAAGCTACACGCTTGTCCATAACAGTTGCAGTGCCACTCAGAGCTTTAAATTACAAAGATCTGAGGGGCACTACCACTGTGCCCGTCACCCTGAGTTATAAGTTAATAAGTCCCATGTGCCTGTAATTTCACCAGCACCCTTAACCCTTCAAAACTGGAACATAGTAATGGTGACATTACTGCTTGGCGGCAGAAACAGGTAAGGTGGCAGTACTTCCTTGATCGAACTTATAGTGAAGGAGTTCAGAGTTGGTCCGACAATATAATCATTCGACTCGTACACCCGACTTAATGGCAGGGGCAATCGGTATCGGCATGATGGTGTTTGGATTCGAATTAGGCGAATCATTTGCTCATTCGAATTTTTAGTAAGTATTAATAACATTCAAAGTCGCGCATCGCTAATGGGATCAGCGGTACGAGACCTGTAACTTGCTCTAATCGATTTTTTAATATCTCATTTGGTTACAGTTGTATTGTTAAACAAAATTAGCGTACCATGACATTTTAAACTAGCAAAAAAATACCTTTAGGTGTTAATGTCCCGAAAGTTACCGAGATGCCAATGCAAATTAGTTATGACAAGAAGGACATTATTCATCATCAGAATTTGAAATAATATTTTTAGGCTGTCTTTCCACCAGAGTTGTGCGACGTAACGAATGAAATGAAGAAATGTGTGCGAGGGATGCGGGCGAGGAATGTGTGCAAAACTGTGTAGGAAACTAGAGTTACTGAAAGTATGACACTTAGAGACCCCCCACACTAGCGTCTTTCGAGCGCCAGTGTCTTGCCAACGTACGCACAGCGTGGACATACCGTCCGCGTGGCGGCGGCGCAACGCCAGCGCGTCGTCAGTGAGCGACCACTGGGGGGTCTACTTCCGTTGTTTTGATTTAGTCGAGTATTACTTATTTGGCAGTAATTGTTTCGGACGGATGTCAGAACGGGAGAGACCCTCTAAATAGTCTCGAACGTTGGGCTTTGGCGTGGCGTCGTCGCCGCGCGGATGTTGTGTTGACGTGCGTACGTCGGCAAGTCGCTAACACTAGAAAGACGCTAGTGTGGGGGGGGTCTCTAACTGACACTAACACATCGCCACTGCTCACCCCACACACCGTACCCCGCCCAGCACAGCACAGCTTTGGTGGAAAACATCACACCGTTTCACAGCGCCACTATACATCCTCGCACCGCCTCGCTACGTAAGGCAGCGTTAGTTGAAAATGATTTCCCGCCCAAATACCCCGTGGCCCCTGTAATACCTACCAAATTATGTATGTAGATTTCATAAAAAAGAAGATTTGATTTAGTTAAATAGGTTATAGTATATTGTTTCCAAGTAAACAAGCGCGTATGAAGAGACTGATGTAAAGCGTAAAACACACATAGAGCGGGTCGGGTCCCGACCCGACTCTCTGTGTCCTTGACGCTTAAGGGGAGGATGCGAAAGAGGTATGTCAGGAACGTATCAGGTGTAAGTCCAAAGTCTATATCTCCATGAACGGCAAGTCAGAGGACTTTTTTTACAAAAATGGAAAACCAACAGCTTCTTACATATAATAAAAACAGGAACATAAACATAAAGCCAATTACAGGTTTTCACCTATAGCTTCAGATAAATCATACACGAGCATTAAACAATCAAACAATAAACAGTATTTCTTAACAACATGCACTTACATAAATATAGGAACCCAATACCCGCGCTAATCACAAATTATTTAAGAAAGTTAGGTAAGTAGAATGACCGTGAGTTTACGGTTTAGCTCATCAACATTACAATTGAATATATCAACTTCCAGGTCATGATTGCTCATCACACTATCCAAGTTCTTGCTAGCTCTATATAGAAAACTACATAGGGAACTGCAATAGGATGACAGTATCTCATGGAACGAGTAGGTACACTAAACGAAATATCACCCAATAAGTCAAAGCAGTTAACATTACCATTAGAATATACGTAATATCATTTTCGGCGAATATTTAGAGGTAATAGATTCAGATCCTTACATAGACGTGGGTAGTCGCATGAATTATAAAATTAACTCATTTTATAGCATAAAAATTTAATAAATTTATTTTGGACTAGTTCAATTCTGTCTATACAGACTTGGTATCTCGGACTTCAGATTTGGGAAGCATATTCAAACTTACTATGAACATATGCACAATATAATATTCGTGAAGTTGTTGGCCTTGAGAAACAGACTGAGTTACGCATTATGAATCCAAGAGACTTAGTATCCTTGGAGATAACATCATCAATATGAGAGCATCAAAGATCACCTTTAAGTCATGGATGACACCCAGATATCTCATGATTGTCTTTCGTTCTAGACAGCGGGTTTTCAAACTATAAGAAGTAAAAATAGTTTTGAATTTGCGTCAAAAGTCATTGCAAACTTTTGGAGGGGTTAAGATCTAATTTATTGTTCAGACAGTAGTCATCCAGACGCGATAGATCAGATTACAGAGCAATAGCATCATCAACAGAAGTGATTTTTTTAACATATATATTGAAAAGGAGTGCCCCTAACAATGAACCTTGAGGAACACCGCTAAGTATGGTAACCCAACTGGATATATAATTATTTACTACCAATGCTTGAGATCTGTTGCTTGTGTATGAAGAAAACCACCTAAGAAGGTCACCTCTGATACTAATCATAGCGAGTTTAGTCATAAGGATATTATGGTCGATTTTATCAAAAGCCTTATTATAATCTGTATAGACGACATCTACTTGATGACCACTGTCCATAGATTGTGAGACAAATTCGTTCAATAATATAAGATTAGATACTGTAAACCTACGCTACAGGAAACAATGTTGGGTGTGACTAAAGGAATTATATAAAGCATTATAGACTTGGTTATGAAAAATCTTTTCCAATACTTTCGATAAAATGCACAATTCAGAAGTTGGCCTGTAATTAGTTACGTCAGTTTTAGGAGAATTCTTTAAGACAGGGGTAATAAACGCGCGATTCCACAGTACCGGCACGTAGCACTCAGCAAACGTACGTTGAAATGGTAATAATACTGGTTTAGTGATGCAATCAGCACAATTAATAAGAAATAATGCCGGTAAGTGATCTGCACCTGCTGACTTGCTCGGATCCAGTTTACGTAATGATCTGGTAAGCACATAAGAATCTATTTTGATATATGCAATATCAGAAACTGTCCGATAAAGTCGCCGTGTGTAACATTAGAACGATTACACACGATAATTTTTAGCTTCTTCTGCAGCGACAGCGATCCAGTTGCGAAGCAGTTTCGAATCATCTATCTTCACACACACGCAAGTAGCGGTATAATGGCGATGCACATTTTTAATTATTCAACATAAGCGACTGTAATATCGCCGCTAAAAGTCATCGTATGTAACCGCTCTTAAATTTATCGATGTATATAATTATTAATAATTACTTAACATTTAATTGTTTTATTTGTCCGTAAATTTTCCCAAAATGTATAAATAAATTACAGTCGAGGCTATCAACGCAAAGTGGTGTAACCCCACGAAACGCATATAAGATAACGAGAGATTTAAATAGTCAAATTAATTTTACTATAGTAATAATCGTAAGACCTATGGATCAATATATAATTATTAAATTTCTTTTATACATAAATAAGTATCCAAATATAAAATAATTATGTACTTTAGTATCACTTAGGCTCAACTCACACTGACGCAGAGTCGAAGCGTCGCTTTTTCGCCTTATAGCATATTCATCTCTATTTTCCCATAATTAAGGTTCAAATTTGTGTTATGCAAATATGGAATCGGACCACACTGTGATCCGGGCGCGCAAATGCGAGTGTCGTTGCGCGACGACACACGTCGCCATGCGTTGCAGAGAAAAAAAATAATTTTGGTTACACCACTTAAATTATAATGCTGTGAGATGTAGAGAAAAATGTGCCGTGATGCTCCTATATAAATAGCATAAAATATACGTTGATAAATTTAGTGTCCCCTGCCTTCGATTGCACTAGCCCTAATTTGTCTTGAGTTGGTACTTAAATATCACACCACACCCACACACACCAGTTTAACAACTCAAAAATTACAAACGTGGAAGTTGTCCAACTGGGATATTACCTGAGTTCAGATTGAGGTTGCCATTACCCTGCCACTAAAAACCAGGGGAATTTCTGCATGCGCTCAAAACAAAACCCAAATATTATTATTTACTGTGACACTGCAGAGCAGGTGTGCGATATGTTCTTATAAATATGGTGTCATTGGAATTGTTACTGTTTACCAAAATGGCAGGAGTATTGCCACAGTTTTTAGGAGTTTGTAAAACCTTGGCTGCATTTATTAGCGAAATAAATATTTGAAATAATTTAGACAATTTTTATTTTTTATCCCCTACAGTTACCTAGACAAATGAAAATTCCAATTTCATGAAAGAAATTTATTGAAATAAAAGAAAAACTCGCACGTTCTTAAATCGTTTTTACTATGAAATGTTGTGCGGTTGTAGAGATTATTTAATTTCTTCAAGATAATCTATTTTCGACGACCTCGGAGACTGAACGGTTTGCATTGTGGACTGTGTTTCTTTTTCCGGAAGGTTCAATTTGGGAAATTACCTAAATTTTCTAAATTGGTTCTGGTCTGGTGGAGTTCTGGGTAGTGCCCTGGAGTGAATTCAGAGGTAATTGGGGTAGAGGTCTGACACATTATTATTATTATAGACTCTTTCTTTTCTGGTCTTTCCCAAGACCTTAAAGATTGTTATTATTCTTTGCAGGTTATTCGAAAAAACATACTTAATATATAAATGAAACTACTTCTCGATACAAATTATTATATTTTCCTAAATTGCATAAAATACATTACAAAATTACAATTTTATATAAATACCTATTTATCAAATCGAACAACCCAAGTAAAATTGTACGACAGCGTTTATAATTCGGTCCAACAGCGTGATGGCTCCCATAGACCAACCCTTCGTTTATAAAACCACTGTGATCGATCAAAAGTTTTTCAATTTACGCCAATAAGCAACAAGGAATGTTAGTTTTCACAGCAATATGTGACAACCGTGCTTGTTGCGATTTCAATTAATATATTGAATGCTTTCATTAGATTAATTTTCCACTAAGCGGCTAGTCGCGTCGAGCTGGCCCCGCGATTCGCCGTCGCAAGTCGTCGCGACTGCAAAAGAACACGCGACTCGAGTATTAAATTAATTTTCCACTAAGCAGTTAGTCGCAGCGAGCTGTCCGCGCGATTTGTCGTCGTAAGTCGTCGTAAGTCCCGCGACTGCAAATGAACACGCGACTCGAGTATCTCCGAGATTTGTACTCTCCACTGTTCGACTAGCCGCGTGTGTATTGAACTTACCTCAATGTGACCAATAGTTTTAGTTCATCTAAGACCGGTAAAGGAAATTACCGAAATTTGAGTGTAATTGAAAAAAATTGTGTAGTGTTCCCGTAACTCATTATAGAACGAATTAAATGCACCTTTGTAGTACGTTCTCTTAACAAAGGATGTATCCAAAATATGTTTTAGTTTTTTTTTATAATCAGCATACAATTTTTTCGACATCCATTTTGAAAATGAACGTTTGTAGGAATGTAGAATACAGTCGCGGGCGACAGAGTCCGTATAAAAACTAGCGCTAAGGCTGCGGTCGCACGCAAATAGTCGTTTAATGGAAAATATTATATTTTATGAAGGATTTTTTGTGAACGTTGCCGGTAATTAATCGACCGATGGCTCTATAACTCGCAACAACATTTCAACATCTTACAAAGAAGTTCTTTTTGCGTGCAAATCGACAATCTCATATCACGAAAAAGACGTCTGCTGCGTTCTAGGGGGACCTTTAAATTAGACTGTCGCGCCACAGACGCGCCACTTTTGCCGACTAGACTAGCTTGGTTATTATAGCATTTGGTTATTTTATAAAGATGTTTCCGAAAGCAGCTTTACGAAAATACTCCATAATATCCGCCATTGGTCCACTGTCTAAGCGCGAAGAAGCCCTTAAGTTTGTGTAAGTACGTATTATCAATAGTTGTAACTGTATTTTCAAAACAAACGTTCTGAATGTTTAAATATAACGTGTCACCATTCATTTCTTACAATCAATAAAAAAATAACAAATAAAGCATTGTTTTCAATGTTATTCGAATCAGTTGTTAGCAGCTGGGTTTATTTCACGCGTCGAGTCAATGTCTGCCTTGCAGAAGAAGCATTGCTTGCTATTCAATAGATGTTGCATTATGCAGGCTCTGAAAACGGCAATAAGATTCTCATTGAAAAGAAGAAATTAGCAAAATGGTCTACTTAAGGATAAAAATAGGCACCTTACTTACACACAAAAAATTTGTGATCATTTTCAGGCAAAATGCATATATAGGATTTGGAGAATATTTGAAAGATATAATGCCATTGAAATGTTTAAGGGAGTTCTCACACTTATCTACGAAGAAACAGCTTTGGTTTTTTGTAATACCGAGTGATGAGACAAACAATTCGTGACTGGTGTTAAGCGATACGTCTGTTCAAAGCGGTTGCAGTGCCAGTCAGAGAGCTTTATTAAAATTGCAAAGACCTGAAGAAGCACTGCCGCTGCGCCCGTCACCCGAGACACAAGTTGACAAGTCTCATGTGCCTGTAATTTCACCAGCACCCCTACCCGTCAAAGCCGGAACGCAGCCAAGCTCACATTACTGCTTGGCGGCAGATATTTCCCTGGACGAACTCTTTCACAAGGAGCTCTACTGTTACTACGTCCAAGCATTAAACGTCAAAAGTTAAGCGTTAAAAAGACGCGTAGTCGTCGACAACGTCTACTTTGCACTTATTCCATGGACATATTTTTTCTCATCAACCCAAGCAGATTGGTGTCGATAAGGTGTCAATACATACGCACATTTAGTGCACACGGTTTAATTTACTGTTAAAGTGAAGGACTTATTACAGTTAACACTATTAGATTGCTTTTATGCTGGAGTTATTCGCTATTGGGTCGATAGCTGCCAGCAGCCAGGCGTGAAAATTTTCCTTGGTTAAGCCGAAGCTTTAGCTTTTTGAAAAAACAAAAAACACTTTAACAAAAATTTCTTTTCACACACACAAACACTACACTTATTAAGCACATACTATACTAGAAGCACAAGATACTAGTTCATTTCACAGGTTAAGTTATTCTAAACATAAACTAACCATAGCTTTTAAAGTAATTTTACATTTTAAGCTGCCCGTCGCGGTATGAAAGTTTGTAAATAAAGTCATGAATGCTAAGTGTTGTTATTTTAATTGCCTATGAATTACAATGGCCTTTTACATACATTCTTTACGTAGTCTTATTAAAAAGAAACACCCAATTAAATATACGATAAAAATACACACTATTTATGGTTAAGATTTTCAAAACAGAAATTTACCATATTTTGTATTAATTTGCCAATAATTTTAATATTTAATAATAATTTTGTTGCAATATTTTAAGATCTCTCTCTTTCTCTCTCTCATCTGGCAAATTTAAGTGAATGCTATTCGACAATAACTCGAATTATTTCGGCTTCTCGGCCGCCATTTCTTTAGATTTTATAAAGCGGATTTTGGCGAATGTGTGTGTAAATATTTTGATAGGAGCGCGTAGTTTTCATGAATGAAATAGAACTCGCCGATCCGCCGGCTTACCTAGCGCTGACCGCCACTGGTAAAAGGTATGCGGAAAATTTTAGGCAAGCTGGTGGGAATTGAGTTGTATGAACGCCTCGCAACTGATAGCTGCTTAACTAGGGCGGCGCCAAATGAGTAATATGTACCCTACATCCAACCACAAATTTAAAACCTCTATTGGCTACTCTTTTCATTATTATGGTTTTAAGACCAAAACCGAACTTCACCGAGCTGATCATCAAAAAGGTCACAAAGTATTCCATGCCTGAGAGAATTTGACGTGATACATGATCGTGAGCACTTTGTCAAGAGTGTCTGATTAAGAAGTCTTTGTAGCTGTAACTGATTTTGCATTTCTCTTATTTTGTTTATTTATTAGCAACTTATTAAAGCACCTGCAAGAATGATGTCCACATGGCACAAACGCAGTATCAGCCGGCCTTGCATAGCAGATAGTACACAGTAGGTCTGACTGGGCTCCGCTCGATCCACCCGGCGACCTCGACTTCACCAATGCGTCCTTGGCCACTCGCAGACGATCCACTACTGTTTCTAATGCTCGAAGTTCTTCTGCTGTTATGTCATCTGGGACTGTTTAGGGTCAAAGGTTATTAATGTATACGATTCTGTTGCTATTTGCAAACGTCCCGCCGCTTGGCATTAGATATCAAAGAAGAAAAGTTAGTTCGCCATCTGTGGGGCACTGTATACGTTCTTGTAATAAAGTCACAGAAAATGTTCCAAATTTACGAGAAAGCAAGTTTAAACTCATTATAAAATCAATGATTAAAAAAATAATATGACCGCATGGTGTACTTCCAGTTACTAAATGATTTTGATGATATAAATATATTTTATGAAAAGAACCGCCATCAAATGGAATCACTACTGAGGTACCCCCTTTCCACAAAAAAAAAGAATAATTGAAATCGGTTACACACAAAAAACATACACACAAAGAAGCAGACGAATTGAGAACCGGTTTCTTTTTTGAAAGTGGGTTAAAATAATTCTCAGGTTAGTTTGACCTACGAATGGATAGTGGATTTTAATTGATGTGACGATTTCAAGTGTTTGAATTGATTACGTACGAAATAGAGATATTTAACTTGATTTTAGAAGACTTTTTTTATAATGACAAGTGACGGGACGAACAAGTCGTTGAAAATCGTCGGGACGAACAACTGGTTGTAAGTTGCATGTCCATAACAGTTGCAGTAGCGCTCAGAGTTTCAAACCGTTAAGATCTGAGACATAAGTTGATAAGTTCCATGGTGACTTAGGCCTTAAGTTCAAATAACTCTGAAAAGTTTTTACAGATCTTCTCCGACATGCAACGAAGACACATTCTGAATATAGCGGTAATGTTTTTCACAATTACGCAAGTGATAAAAAGATCACGGCCCGTATTCTGACCCGGTTACCGGATGTTTACGTACAAAAACCACATTAGTTTTAAATGATGTAGTTATTAATAACTTTTTATTTTATGTAAAAGAATATTGAAAATGTACGGGATTAACATGTACCTGGGCAATAAAGTTTTGATGTTTAACACATATTTAATTGTGTGAAAACCCAATAAGGTTGATGTCAGACTCTCTGTCAAAATAAATATCGTCGCACTCGTGTACGAACCCTGCGCGGTCAGTTTCACACCTGTCCATAACAGTTGCAGTGCCACTTAAAGCTTTAAATAGCAAAGATGCACTGAGGTGCACTGCCACTGCGCCCATCTCCCTGAGATATAAGTTGAAAAGTCCCATGTGCCTGTAATTTCACCAACAAAAATGATCGGCTATTAGTACAAAACACACAATTATTTTGCACTAACATATTTTTTTTATATTTACGAAAAATACTTGTTTTTATTCCATAATTTCCAGTAACCATAACAAAGCGACATACATATATTATACTTTGGTGGGCCATGATCTTTGTAAATATTACTGCGCAAGATATAATACTTTCTGGATCTGTTCTACCAATAGAGTACCGAAACTCGGGGAAGTAATCTTCCAAGTGCTGCTTGCACAAGCAAAATAAGTAATGAGTCAATGAATGGGCATACTCACATTGATAGAACGAGAAATGCTTGGAGTCTTTCGATTTTCCCAACATGAATTCCAGCCCGTCCGCTCTGAACAGCGGCTCGGTCACCAGCGCCTTTGTTACCTTCTCTAGATGCTATAACATATAAGGAAAATGATTTTCAGCCAGCTCTGGTATATCGATCGTTTTTTAATTTGTTTAATCTTGATCCGTCTTTTTTCAGTGTTGTATACGAACATCGTCTGGCCCAATATTGGGCTTGTGACTCCCCTTATTGACATGGACATGACCTCTAGTGACCTACCACTGCTGACCTATGTATCTCATCATTATTCAATATATCGTAATCTATGTCCAGTTGGATGAATTTTCGAAAATTTTGAGACGTACGTCAGAAGGCAATTTCGGTTCCAATAACCTAATCAGACACCCGGCGACAGGGGAAAGCGCAACGTAGTAGTGCACGCGGTCGGTGTCGGGCAGGCCTCGTGCAACGAGGCGAGCAAAGCCCGCACCACCACCGTTACGCACGCACACGCGGGAGATTACTGCCATGAGGATCTGATGAAAATATTCATAGTTGGAATTGGCAAGATTTCGACAGTTGACAAGATATTGATAGAATTTATCTATTCTAAAGGTTTGCGTCTAATGCTGAGCCCAAGAGAGGAGTCGAGTAGTTTTTTGGTGTACAAACCGGAAATTAGTCAGACGGTGCACCTGATGTAGTAATCACCGACTCCAGACATTGGTCATAAAGTAGTGATGATTACAACATAGCAATTGTGTTACCGAACCTGAGATGTAAGATCTTAAGAATTTTGAGCACGTGATTGTGTTGGTTCACTTGGTTCTCGTTCCTTTATTCCTTTCCTGTACGTCAGGCACACCTTGGGCAGCCCTGAGCAACAATCGGCGAATACCTTCCGTCGATTGGTAAATTCTTTCACCACGGCAAGCATTATTGTGGATATTATCGATACGATAAGAAGAAGAAGAAAACACTTCGCTTTGGAACACAGCTCTGCTGCTTTACGGTGGACATAGGTGTGGTAGTGGTACTTATCCAGGAGATACTATTCCAAAGAGAACCAAAGTACTAGTAATGTCAAATATTTACCTGACAAGTTCTACCCAGAAGCAGCTCGTTCTGCCCATCACAATTATCGCTTTTTGTGAGCAGCGTGGGGACCAGGTGCATGATCATTTCGAGTGCCCGCGCCAGGCCGTGGTACAGGTCGAAGCAGGTCGCGCATAGCTTAATTTGACGCGATTCCAGGTGCGAATCTACGTTTACTCTGTCCATCTATACATTTGTAATGTTGGGTTAGGTTTAGACTGCTAGGAGGATTTCCCCACGAAAAAAAGGTGACTACAGGGTCTACAGCGTCTTGGAGAGTTTGAACTGTTATTGTACTGTGTACAAGTAGTGCTATTATTGTTTCAGAGATAAGTAACCAGGACGGTAACCTATCACAAACTCGAAAATTTTTTGTCCGAAATAACGCTTGTTCGAATTTTCATTATACCGAAAACCGAATTATAACGAAACTGTTCTTTCAAGATATGTTGAATGTTTATCGCAAAGACACGATTAGGATCGGTTAGATTAGGTTAAGTTAGGTTTAAAACAAAAAACATTTTCCTCTCAAAGTTACTTTCGAGTTTATGAAAATTCGACCAAACGTTATTTCTGGAAAATGTCATTTTGGACTACTGGTAACTAGGACACTAAACTACAGCTGTCTCTACAATTTAAATCTATTGTCGTTGCCATACGATGCATGAGCATGAAATAAAAGAGAAAAAAATCTGGTCTGGACAGAAAGGGGTTATTGTAATCGACGCTCTCATACCGCAAATTATGGATGCACCTATAACGAACCCCTGTATTACACAGGTTTATTTGTAAAATACTAGTAACCTCGTAGGAGTATCATTACTAACAACATAAACAACCACTTTTGTTCCGACTTTTTGTTTTGACTTTTAGTAATTCAGATTTTACTTTGGTACAAAAACAAAATATTTGAATAGATCCTCTAAACGACGATAACTATGGGACGTCGGGGAGCACGCTTTCAGATTTGAACCACGTAGTGTTTGAACTGACAATCTTACTACCAAGTACAGATTTAAATTTAAAATAGATTAGATAGTACAACGAAAACTCGAAAGATTATTGTTGGTAAATATATTGTGTTTTGTAAATAGTCATAGAACAAACGTTGTTGTTTATGATGTTAGTAATGTAGTCCCGCAGTAAGCAAATGGTTTACCTCCTGCATCATGGTGATAAACTCCGAGAAGGCCCAGTTCAACTGACTCAACAGGGAGTTGAGGAACGCGGCAGCTTCCTTTGGATGTGCCAGTAAGTACTCTTTGATACGCGTTTGTATTACTTCTGATGGACAGGGTCCTGATAATAAAGTAAGTACAAACACTATGCAGCGGATATATCAAACACACGGAACGGATTTATCACACACCACTCCAAATACAACTAGTTACACTTAAAATGCCTTTGACAGTGAATAGTTTTTAAAAACGAAAAAAAAATGGCGGAAATTGGAAGTGAAAGGACGTTAAAAGATTTAAAATTTTCAGTTATCACAACATTATGGAAAAGTTTCTGGAAGAGGAATCAAGATATAAAAGGCAAATGTTATGGAAGCATACAAAAACAAATACCTTCTAAGCTGTGTTCAAAATTCAACGTCTCGTATTAGCAAGTGAAACTATGTAATTAAAGTGAAAGTGAAAATATGAATAATGAGTCCCGCTGCTTAAAAGATTATTTAAAAAACCCAAAAATCTTTTTACCATTCCACAAGTAGTACATTAATAACACAAACAGAAAATATTTATCGAGGATCCCGAAAACTAAATGAAGACCTGGCTCAAAGGATTTGTATACAGGTCAAAAAGACTTAAAAACGACTGGGCGTGCAGAAAGTAATTTTTTTTAAACAAGTCGCTCGGTTTCTGGAGAATTATCGCGTCTTAAAATTGGAGAAATTGTTGCAAAGTAATACTCATAAATTTAAATTAAGCTGCTGTCTATTCGAACGGCTGGTTATTAGGGTATTTATTCGAAAATACAACCGTATCTTTTTACTTGCTACGTCTTTTTGAATTGAAACCGGTGTACGATAATATGTAGGTATATAACTAACCGAAGCATTGGCTCATCAAACCAGCATCGACTTTAGCCCCCAAATTGTTAACCGTAGGTTCTCTGTCGCCATACCTGTAAAACGAACATTATTGTTTTAGGCAGCTGTAACTAAGGCCCGGCGCTCAGAGACGGGATTTTTATGTGACGAATAATAATATACCTTAATAGTATGACTGTATAGTTGAAATTTCAATGATAATGGTCGTAGCTACAAAACCAAAGCTTGTGAGCCGGCAGCCTCCGGAATTCCTCGGCAGCCTACGGGATACTCGGTAAACTTCAGGACGCCGAGTGCGGCTGGTAGTAAGTAGTAGATTACTTAATACTTATTACGTAACCGTTGCATCACTCTCATATAACATCGATTATATCTAAGTTATAATAGTCTACTAAATCTCGTTCATGACACCGCTTTGGCGCTTACTACGAGGAAAAAGGAACTTAAGCACGCGCTTAGAGAGATGAAAATAACGTTGCCCGCCTTCTGCATTCGAAACCGAATGCGCTAAGGTTGTACAAGGATTGTAATGTAAATGTAAGACTTGTCTGAGACTTTGACATAACAATTTTATACAGGGAGTCCCAAAACTCAACGACAACCTGGGAACAGGATGTTGCCTAGTTTGTAACAACCCAGAAAAACATATTTAAAAAATCAGAGTAATTTTTTTATTGTGATATGAGTATTTTAATGAAAAATGTTGTAAATATACGACCTGTACACCATTTTTAATACCTACAAATTTGCTAATTTTGCTGTTATAGTTTTTTTTTATACATGACAGGCAAATGACTCCAAAACCCAAATTGCACCAGCTAATGAACACAACGCCATAGAAAGCCCGAATTGCTAAGTTTCAGCACAAAAAAATAATGTATTTAATTTTTTTCTTCAAATTTTTAGCAGATTTTTTTTCGAGGTAACTTTGGCACCCCATTCTGTAAAAAAATGTACCTTCTTACAAAAGCTGGAGCAACTAATCAAGATTCTAAAATGGTATAAAAACTTCTACGTCATGCTTCTTGGAAAAAATAATCTTGGTGTTTTTAAAAAGAGGCCAATTTATAAAGATTACCTTTTCTAAGTGAAAATGGCTTTCAGTGTATCTAAGGTTAATTTAGGTTTCATGGATACACTGAAAGCCATTTTCACTTAGATAAGGTAATCTTTATAAATTGGCCTCTTTAAAAAAAAAAGTTTCATATCCATGGCCCAGCACACGCTGGAGGAGTGTCCTGCATGGGTTAAGCAGCGCGGTGAACTTGTCGCCGCCGTGGGGAGTTTCTCTCCCAACCATAGTTCACTCAATGGTTGAGAGCAAAAGGTCGTGAGACGCAGTCCAAGCATTCTGCGAGGAGGTTATGGTGAAGAAAGAGGCGGTGGAAAGGGAAAGGGAAGATTCAGCCCCTGACCCGATCCGCCGTCGGAGAGTGGGTCGCAGAAGGAGAGCAATGGCTCTCCAGCTGCCGACATGGGCGGGTAACGGGAGGCGAAAGCTCCCGTGACATGGGTCCATGAGCACAGACTTAGGGGAGTCCGTCACACGTTACTGGTGGACCCGAGATGGCGGCGTATGTGTTCCGCGTCTGCCACTCAAGATTGATGACGGGGAGACAAGAACTCTCCCCGAAAAGCGAGATGGGGTTCGGCGCCCAGCCGGATCAATCACCGCCGGAGTCGCGGAAGAATGCGTAAGCGTCCCCGTGCCTTCGGCACATGGTGAGAAGATGGAACACCGTCAGGTTTTAGTCGGTAGGAGTCCGACATAATCCTTCGCCTCCCCCGGGCGGAGGGTATCCATGATGATTTCCTGACGTAAAAAAAAAAGGTTTCATAGCCATGTAGTCGGAGTTAGACTGACTGGTAAAAATGGTAAGTATGATTGAGTGAGGCAAACAGTCTCAAAATTCCACATTTCTCGACAGATATAGAAATTTATATAAACGTAATGAATAAATTATTATAATTTTATTACAGACTACAGAAAGTGCTCAAACTGTTTTTCACCGGTATCAATATATGCACGGCAACGCCTTGCCCTTTTCACCAATCGTGCGTATCGTCGTAAATTTATCTGTTGTACAGCTTCCGTCATTCTTCGTCGTAATTCGGCAACGTTTGATATCGGTTTTGCAAAAACTTTTTCTTTCAGACAACCCCAGCAAAAAGTCTAGCGGGTTCAAATCCGGAGAACGGGGTGGCCACAAAATTGTAGCAAGGCGCCCAATCCATCGACCTGCGTGCTCTTCAATGAGTTATTCTACTGGACGGGCATAATGAGCAGGACACCTATCATGTTGATACCACATTTCCCGCAATATGCTAAGGCACGTTTTCCCGTAGATCTGACACCCCGTTCTCCAGATTTAAACGTGTTTGACTTTTTTACTGGAGTTGTTTGAAAGAAAACAGTTTATGCAAAACCGACATCAAACGTTGCCGAATTGCGACGAAGAATGACGGAAGTTGTACAAAAGGTTAGTACTGCGATTCACGTAAGTTCAACCTATCAAAATATCGTTGAAGTTACATAGTCGTTAGATCGAAGTCCTGTCCAAAATGGGTATTCACGTATCACTTGAACGAACGTTGATATGAGTAGTATCGAAACGTAACGACTGGACTGTGAAATTTGACAATTAGCCGTCGAAAGTCTATTGAAAGAACTGTCAAAATTTTAGCAGAATACGTATGACTTGTCGTTTAGAGTCGATTTAAGTTCGATTCATATACCAGAATACGCTTTAGCGATATTTGGATCCAACGATTCGTTGACCTCTACTGTCACACGTGAATACGAAAAAACAGTTCAAGGTCTAAATCGCTATGATATCGTAACGGTTTGATTACGTGAATCACCCCCAGGTTAAGTTAGGTTTAAAAGAAAAAACATTTTCCTCTCAAAACTACTTTCGAGGTTATGAAAATTCGAGCAAACGTTATTTCTGGAAAATGTCATTTCGGAATACTGATATTCTTCTTCTACACCCATCCACTGATTGCGACGACTTTTGTTACAAAACGTGCCGTACGACCGTGCATGCATATATACGAGCATGCAACACCCTCTGAGCGCTTGCACTGCCGGCGATACACTCATCGGTAGGCACTTATCGCTTAACCTCGAGCGTGTGGCGGAGTTTTGATAGTAGGCGGTAAGCTTCGGCGTGCCTAAGGATGCCATGTCATATCTAAGGATACAGCGGCGTGACTAAGGATAGGCATGCCCAATGCTCGCTTGCTGTTTAGTCCCGCCAATGGGCGCCAGGCCTAAGTCTATTCTACAAAATAAAATTATGATTATTTTGCATATTATTTCTCAACCATACATGGCATTAACAATATCTGATTTTGTAAGTAATGTAATATTGTCCCGTGGAGTAATAAAGCCTAGTAGCAGAAAAGCTCCTTGTGAAAGAGTTCGTCCAGGGAAGTACTGCCATCTTACCTATTTCTGCCGCCAAGCAGTAATGTGAGTATAACAGCGTTCCGGTTTAAAAGGGTAAGGGTGCTGGTGAAATTACAGGCACATGGGACTTGTCAACTTACATCTCAGGGGACGGGCGCAGTGGCAGTGGCCCTAAAATCTTTGAGATTTCAAGCTCTGAGTGCCATTGCAACTGTTATGGATAGGCGTGTTGTTTAACATCAGGCGCACGACTGTCCGTCCAGTCACTTGACATTATAAAAAAATTAAATAAAGCCACATCTCATCATACGTCACAAGTGTTTTTATCAGATGAAAGTCATAAAAGTAATACGAATTACGTGAAACAAATTATGTATTTCAGAAATTTTATAACTCTTTTATTTAAATTAAAAAAGTTATCGAATGATTTCGTTCGTACAAACTTTAAGCCCTTCTCCTGAACAGTTGCCGTTTTGTAGATGCGGCCTTGTAACACCAAGGGTGGTAATTACGTCATTGTCATCTTATTGTTAAGGCTGCTACATAAATAGTAATTTCTTATGCAAGGCATCAAAGTTGTTGTTTGACGTGAGTGCTTGTATTGAAACCAGAGCAAGCGAAGGAGTCTAAGATTGAATGTAGTATCCTAAGCGTCGAGGGTTTTAAGGCACAAGACGCAAAACAACTTTGCTGCTGCGCGAAATACACAACTTTTCAATGTCAATTTAATGTCAACAATAATAAGAATAAGATATGCCAACGGATTTATATTACATAAATAATGTACGACAAATCGCGTAGTTGAACGTGTCATTATGATTTCTTTTTCATCGAAAGAAAAAGTTAGGTGCACCACAGTCTATCGTCAAGTTCGAATTCCGAAAATCTTTTCCATGCTAGCGCGGAAAGAACGCTTTTGCGCACAGATATCTAATGAGAAAGAAAGCCTTTCCGAGCAAGTGAGGTGAAAAAAAAAAAAATTTTCAACTTCCAAATTGAGAACTTATTATTATAATTTCGAGAACGGTACGCAAAGTAATTCGAATTTGAATCAGAAAAGCAGCTGCCGAAACCGGATGATATTAGGTACTTATTATTACAGATCGTCATAGTAGACTTAGAAGAATACAAGATATTTATTCGCTGAAAAATGTAGTTAACATTTTAATGTTAATGTAGCAGGTCTTACAGTGTATTATACTAGATCGTACATTTCACCAAATCTTGGCAGGCGAATATTTTTCACAATATTATATAGAAATGAGACTCCAATGACTGTTATAAATTATATTAAGTATAATACCCAATCACTATAAATCCAAATAAAACAAAATCACGACCTTTCTCGTCAAAAATTTTTTCGCAATGGCGGGTGCGGTCAGCGTTCCGCTAAATAATAATAATAATAATTCTTTATTTCGGACCATAAAACATCCATAGTATGTTAGTAAAAGAACTTATGTCAAGGTTAGTAATAATCAGTGCAACTTAATTATATTTCAAACTGGGCTACGCTCTTAACTTGCACTATCCAATGTTTCAGGATAGGACAATCATACCTTCCCGCTATGGCATTTAGAATGCTGTTAGTACTGAGCCTCGACTCATCAGTGAGACAATCATTTTGCGCATCATGGCCTGGAAGCTGTCCGTGTGAGCCATCGCAAACTTACCCGATGCACTACACCAGCTTGGCAGTCCCATCAGCATTCTAAATGTTGCACGCGCAGGGCGTTAAAGGCTCATTTCGTATACCTAATCCACAGACTACTCGAGTAAAAAGATTGACTAAGCTTTAAAAAGCGTTATTTTAACTTCGTTGGAGCATCGAGCAAACCTGCGGGCAAGCATATTACTCCAAACCGCCAACGCCCTGCGCTCCGTTTCAAATATCCGTTCTTTTTTAATTTTTTTATTTCAATATAACATAATCCTTAATGAAACAAAGTAATAAAATTAATCAATGTCACGTTTCGCTAATAATACAAATTTTGTTAAATGTTTGCCTAATAGCTTGAGTATCTCAAGTTCGTTGAAGGTGAAATAAATTGTTATATTTCTCTGGGAAAATTTGTCTGAAAGGTATAAATCGCGATATTTATGAGCTTCGATATGTTGTCATTTATTCACGAAAAGTCTGGACACCGCTCGTTTTATTACTTTTGTTGGGATCCATTAGGATATTAAATTTGTCCCAAAAAATACTTGCGACGTTTATTGTTTAATATTGAAAAAACAGAAGTAAGTGTAAGGATTTCTAGGAGTACTTAAAATTAAGATTTCGAAAATGTTCAATGTGCTTTTAAAGGTTATGTAAGGAGAACCCCTAGTACGATTCAATTAAACAAATCGATTCATTCGATTTGTAGTTGGCATTACAAATGGCCATCACAAGTCACTGACCATCTATGGTTGGTCAGTGACTTGTTTGTTTTACTTTTTGTTTAAGATTGATTGAAACGAAGTATAGCGTGCAGCGCACATGCAAAGCGTACGCACCCTTACAAAAAGGGAATAAAAATAACTGGAAAGGTAATAAAAATATAATATATTTAATAAAAATATATTTTTTTATAATACCAAGTCACGAGACGATTAAGTGGTGGGCCTGCTGGTAAGCGACACGCCTGTCCATAACAGTTGCAGTGCCACTTAGAGCTTTAAAACGCAGAGATCGGAGGGGCACTGCCATTGCGCCCGCCCGTCACACTGAGACGAGTCCCATGTGCCTGTAATTGGACCAGCACCCCTACCGTTCACAACCGGAACGCAGTTATGCTCACATTACTGCTTGGCGGCAGAAACAAGTAAGGCGGCAGTACATTCCTTAACGAACTCTTTCATAAGGAGCTCTACTGCCAAAAGTTGTCTTATACCTACAAAGTAAACATTTGATAAATCTTACCTGGCAGCAAGATGGGGCCACTGCCGGTGTCTGAATCCGAATCCAGACCCGTGCCAGAACCGCACAAGTACCCAATTGGATTGCGCCCACGCACGATTCTGATAAGGTCGTACCAGTTCTTCTACCATTGACATTTGCCTGTGGATAACGCACTTAACTTCTTAGTTCCTTCATACATAAATTAACGTCGTAACACTATACTAACTAGAATACATAATATCTTTTCATAAAAGTCAATATTAATTATGATTTTGAACACTGAAATAACACGAGAGTCAAAATAAAACCCAATCTATTTGAAACCAGTGTAAGTGCGAATTACATAGAATCTTACTGTTTCATAGGCACACGTTCAATGGCCCTCATGGTGGCAGGCTGCGTGGCAAAGGAGGCCAGTGTTTGTACGAGGGACTCCCGCGTACTGGCAAGAACGATTCGCTGGTCCGCGAATTCCGAGCACAGAAATGCTGCACACGATACAACTAACTCCTCCCATTCTGTTAGGATTTAACGTTGGGATCAGACCCTGTACTCTCCTTCTCCGTCTAGGATCAGGCCCTGTACTCGGTAACCTATCACAAATTCGAAAATTTTTTTAACCGAAATAACATTTGTTCGAATTTTCATTACACCGAAAACCGAATTATAACAAAACAGTTGTTCTTTCAGGATATGTTGAATGAATATCGCAAAGACAGTTAAGTTAGGTTTATCTGCCCCTGCGGGGCCGGGGTATCTGTAAACAGATTCCCCCGGATTAACAAAAAAAAGGTTTAAAAGAAAAAACATTTTCCTTTCAAAATTACTTTCGAGGTTATGAAATTTCGACCAAACGTTATTTCTGGAAAATATCATTCCGGACTACTGATAGGTAACCCCTGTACTCTCCTTCTCCGTCTGGGATCAGGTCCTTCTCCGACATCCGTCCGAAACAATTGCTGCAAATAAGTAATACTCGATGCGAATGAAGCTTCATACTTGATATTGTCCTTTAATTCGGTCCAGTATTACTTATTTGACAGATATAGGACGGAGGAGAGTAGACCTCAGATTTTTGAGGTACAGTTGATGCTCTAAGATCCCTGAACCCCCTAACCAACTATTTGGTTCTTATTAGACGAGTGTGAAGAAAGGTGTTAAGTTAAACAAATTTAACCTTTAACCTCTGAGCTGTAAAATTATAATTATAGCGCGTACGCTCATAGTCTCGCACTAGGGAAACCCTGTGTCGCGAGTACCGTGAACACCCGCATAGACAATCACAGGTTATACCCAAACTCATAAGAGAAATAAATGTAGGCCATACAAATATTTCTTCCGTCCCGGGACCTCTGTGTGGCATGGTAAACATTCTGCCAGTCAGGCAGTTCATTTTGATACGACTTTCTTATTGCATCATTCATCAATAACGTGCTAAGGAAGGTTTTAAACCAATTTTATTTTTAAATACATTATATACATACAAATTTCAACCAAAAAGCTGCAATTTCTTTACACTTATCTGTTGAATACGTAAGAAGGCTCTTATAACCAATAGTTCGGCTAGAGGGCCAAGTATTTTAAAGCATCGACTGTACATAAATCCATGTCTACGTCAATTACGCATGACAAACGTGTTTTTTTTCATGGATACGTAACTTTTTGTTCTAAATTTCGGACGTTCCTATTTATCATACACAATATGACAGAACGGATACAACGAAAAGTTTAATTTTAAAAAACAATGTATACGTAAATTTGCATCGCGTACTCTGGGTATAATAAAGCCACATGTCAGATGTTAAGTGATTTTTTTCTACTCCTGCATTTTAACTTTAATCTATCTTATAATTTCCTATACCATACCACAAAGACGCCCTTTTTAGTTCTGAACACAAACTTATAAGAGTTACTTCTGAATTAAAATTCTATTGTCTATGGCATTCGCCAATGAACTGAAAAATTTCATTTTAGTTTCAAAAAAAGAACGTCGTGTTTTTGCTAATTAATAATTTTCAGAAAAATGGCGGTTTTTTGTGGCAACAGTTTTTTCACAAATAAATTTTTACTTTAATTGTTATTACGTTTTGAGTTTCAATAAATTATTTATTGTATAAGCTGATGGCTCTATAGCCAATGCTCAACAAATAAATAAAATAATAAAAAAATTAAAATATCAAACATGACACTACTAAAACGCTCTACTGCTTCCTGATTGGTTACGTTGGCCTAAAGATCTTGCAACCGGACCATAACCTTTTATAAAAAAAATGGTTATAATATAAGCGGTACTTGGCCACTTTTATCTCTTTGGTTTGTGTTTTGTAGCGTTCGTTTGAAGTTATTGTCATGGATTGTTAACAAAATGTACATTAAATATTGGTAGTGTTTCACTATTTTATTTACTTGTAGAAAAATCATACCCCGGACGCTCCATACAACGGTAGAAACTTATTTACCTACTACTACTACTACGTACAGCAAGGTGTCTACAAGGTGGTAGGGTTATGCATCACTTACTTGAGCTACGTAGTCTCTTGTTTAACGTGCACAGTAACTTTGTAAGAGCAAATGAATGTTGTGTACATGTAAATAATTATGATCATTACGTAGACCAATGATTTTATTTATTAAATACTAAAATAACCGTAAATTATACAACTTAAAAGCTTAATATAATACGTGAATAACACTACCATTAATTACCTACACAACATTTTTTCTTTAATAAAATATTTTTTTTAAATAATCTGTTATGAAATCGCATTATATTAAAAATTCGAAATTTGAATATCAAAATCGTATAAAGCGAACGGCTCGCTGACAGCTATGTTGCCGTTCCGTCAATGTGATCGTCAATATGAGGGGCGCGGACTGGTGTCTAAAACTAGGGAGAGGCGGAGAGTGACCCTTTATTCTCTGGGAAAGTATTCTTTAGATAATTAGGTCTTACAATCTCGTACCTATTACTTAGGCCACGTGGCTTTTCGACTTTACCCTCATTATGCAACGATTGCATAAAATACTATTATCACATGAAAGGCATAAAAATAATACGAATTACATTGAACAAATTATGTACGGGTAGTTCTTATGAAATTCCGAAATTCGTGCTTTCGATATTTATGAAAAATATTTGAAGGAAGAATTTGTAATTATTTTTTGTAAATTTCATAGTAGGAACTTATGTAAATAGTTTTTGATGTTACAGTGGTCCCCAAAATAAATGACTTAAAAAGTATAGGACAGTCAGAACATTCGAGGTTGAACATTGCGCGCTAGATACGACTCCATTTGTTTAAATCATCTTCCAGATCAATTAAGTGTTTTTAAGGCTTTGGCTGTTTCCACATAACAGTGAAAGTGTTGAATCAATCATTTTGGAAAAAATATATAAGTAAAATTGAGGCTGATTACTATACGGTATGAAAACACGAATCCTAAAAATTTTAACGATAGAAAAAACAAACTTATCTCGAAAAAATTCAATAGGTACTTCATAATATACCAATGATTTTTTTTATATTAACTGAACTAAACAGAACACGTATAGTATACGGCATACATTTTTCAAATGGCTTTATTTAGTTTGTAAAAAAATAAATTCGGAAGTGAAGCCAGTATCCTTGTAAAATGAACCGTATTAGTACGGGAAAAAAATTGAATTCAAACTGAGATAGTGTTCAAACGAGTAATTTCGCTCGTAGAATCTTTAATTCTCGTAAAGTTGTCATTTTACAGATGTGGTCTTATTACATCAAGAGTGCTATTTATTGTGTGAGATTTGTTGCAAAAACTTTGCTTAATAAACCAAATAGAAAGGAAGTAAATTCCACTATATACCAGGTATTTGTTGCACAGGTACTGTGGGATGCATGTACAATCGCAAAGTATTGCAAAGCTCTAGCATTGCATCCACGTGGTATTCCGGCACAAAGGCGAACAGGGATTCCATGAACTCCTGCGATACCGTTGTTCCTGCTGGTGGCGCTGAAAAGATTGTATTTTGAATGAATGAATTCATGAAATACTCTTCATTACACATAAAATTACAGTGGCAACACAAACTTGTAAAAAACATACATACATAAGTATAAAAAACATAAGTTAATACAACATACTACAGTCTTATTGCTATGTAGAAATTTCTTTTAAAGATTTGGTAGAAATTTTGATAGAAATCGATTTGCCCATACAGTATCTCATAGCTTGAAGATGGGGCCTTGTTTAAAATTTTGGGTCAGAGTACACCCGTGATCTAGACGAAATGTAACGAAAAGTTTTTGTGACAAACGTGTTGTTCTTGCAATGTTTTCGGAGTTTTTGAAAGTTTGATTAGAACAGCTATATTATTATTATGATAATTGGCATCGAAGGATATTCTTACGTTGTCTGTATGGTAACAAAAAATATATTATGAATAGCACTGATATCGTAACAGGATTTCGCAGTACAGAACAATCAACGGAAAGTGGACTACAGGCAATTTACCTACATTATATCCTTAGCCTGTTAGGGGCATATCTCAGTAACCCCCCTCTATTGGCTCAAATCCCTTTCTTATACCACGGCCCGATTTATCTCTGTTCTCTCTAAGACCATACGCACACTGCGTATTCTATACGCGCCGATGACGCGCAGATGACGCGCGGAAACACGATTCAACCGCGATGCAGCCGCAGAGAGTAAACCTTTGCACACGTTCACAAATTCAGTGGCGCTGTAAACACGCGTCATCTGCACGCATACGAAAACGGAAGCGCGCTTTTGTATCGCGTTTTAGGCGCGTTAGAATCGATACAAACACAACAATCTGCTTTTTGAGCATCTATGGCGCCGTAAACGCGCGTCGTTGGTTCGTATAAAATAGTGTGCATGGGCTATAAGGCAGATACCATTCTACGAGGCTCTAGCCTAGATAGAACCTCTAAATTGGATTAAAGATAATGACGTTTCCACTAACTCTGAATCGAACTATCTGACATCTGTTGGAAACGGTCACCGCCCGAAGGTCTGTGATGGAAGTTCTGTAACTTGCTTTCGGGCGGACATCGACTCAACTCTTATTGACTATGGCTTACATGTTTAGTTACTGTTAGCGTAAGTTGTATATAAATAAATGAACCGATTATATGGGTTCCAATCTACGAAACTCTATACTATACAGGTTGATGAAAAAAAACCACCGTCCATTTTATTTCCTGTGCATAAGATTCAGTAATAGAACACATTTGTGAAATAAAACAAAAAAATCCCTTTTTTTGTGTTAATTATTCCAATAATTTTTAACGCGTGGTTAACCTCTAAATAATAAATAACATTGAGCGATCGGCGCCGAGTTGTCTAAATGCCTAGACGTCAGCATGTCACGCTGCGCGATGACAGACCTGCGCTAACGCATCGCGCGTTAGTTTAATACTTTGTTGTCTGCCGAATACATAAATTTTCGCGCGTTGACTTCGCCCACTGTCCCACATCGTTCTTGTTGCCATAGCAACGGCGTCGGCTAATCATCGGGTGGCAATATTGTTCACAATTTTTCGGAAAACTTTGAGACGTCGTATCTTATTTATTTGTTAAGTATTTGAAAAAAAAACCTAAGATGTATTTTTTATTTCCATTAAACAGTACGCTCCTTTAAAATGGTCAATGTTTTTTTATCAACCTGTATATACATGAATAAAAAATAGTCCAACGGTACTACATAGAACAACCAGACACTTCTCTTGTACCAATAACTCAAAAGAGGGTAACTAATCTCCATACGACAGATCGTAACTCTGAAAAAGGTCTAAATCCCGTCTTATGTCTAGATGGCTCTGTTCGATTGCCTGGAAGAATTTTATATTATGTAAATGGCTGTGGATATCAATTAATTCCACTTGTAACAACCACAACATTAACACGCCATTTGTTCCATCACACCACCGCTAGATGACATTAGTTGTACCCTGAAACGCGCTATCGTTGTGTTACCTTTAATAGTACAGGTCAACTCATGTTTTGTATTGTCAATGAATGAAAAAATGCCATAGTATTCGTATGGCACTAAAAGGCTCTCAATCTCAAGTTATTGAGAGATATCGGTCAGCGATGGGAGTTAACTCGATTCGGTGTCTTTTCAGCAACTGCGAGTCGCGAGTAGAATTCGAACCGACGATTCACCGAGTTGGGCACGATCGGCCGGCCGACCGCGACTCGAGAGTGCTCCAAAGGTCGCCGAACCGAACGAGTGACAATGAATAGCCGACGCGCTGTAAGAATAAAGTATTCAACTCAGCGGGAACCGCACCAAGCTAGCTCGTGTTCACAAAAAGTAGCTCGAATTGACTAATTGTGGGAGTAACGCTCGCGACTCGAGCATGCTCCGAAGGTCACCGAACGAGAAGCTGCTGCGCATTGCGCTGTATGTATGAAGTATTCGGCTCGCTCGGCGCGGGGAGGGTACTGAATCGAGTTAGCTCGAGTTCATAAAAGAGTAACTCGAGTTGACTCGTTGTAGGAGGAACTCGAGTTAAACAATTCTTAAAAACTCGATTCTTAGTAATTCACTCACAAATAAACTTAGTTCTCTGTAATGTAACATTGAAGATTAGTCAAACTACCTCCCTCACAGGCGAGCATTCGCCTGCGAACGTTTCTTTTATGAGCATTACATTACTAACTACCTCCCACACCGGCGAGCATTCGCATGCGAACATTCGTTTTTGAGCATTACATTATCAACTACCTCCTTCACCGGCAAGCACTCGCCTGTAATGTAACATCCAAGATTCGATTAGGCTGCGATTCCACCAGAGATGTGCGAGGTAGCAAGGCGTGCCTGCGAGAGCCCACGAGTGCCCGCGAGTGCCTGCGAGAGCTTGTGAATGCCTTTGAGTGCCCGCGAGAGCCAGGAGTGCCCGCGAGTGCCTTTGAGTGCCCTTGAATGTTCGCGGTGAAGGAACGCCCTTAACTTCAGCACTGAACCTTGTGCTTTCACGTCAGTGAGACACACTGTTTGGTCTCTAGCCGCTTGCCCTTTCGAAGTCTGCATTTCAATTGTCTACGCGGGTCAGCGGAGGGGGCCGCTGACCAGCGCTACACTCTTTATGATATATAAGAAGTCAGTATTTTTTGCCTTGTAATGTTATTCGAATATTGATCGTGAACCAAAATTATTTTCTGAACTTCGACAAATAAGCGTGTCAATAGATAGCATTGTGTGTTACAAATTAATTTATAAAGAACGTTTCCTAATACGGGTAGAGGGAGCTAATCGTAAACAAAGTAAAAATCTGTGCAATAAGCGCCATCTAGCAGATTTTTTTTATATTACTACAAAATTAGAGTGGCTTTGTCTTGTGTCGCGATTAGCGTCTTCTTGAGTTATTAGTCCGTATTCTAACCTACCAATTATACTGTGTTAGATGTTAGAAGTAAAATGCTAACTGCTTTGTTGTCCTAACTGCATGTGTGATCCAATTCTAGGTGTGGTGGCTCTCGATCTTGGGCTTTGGGGACTGTAAATAAAACAGTTCTTTCAATGCAATCCGACAAAATTACATGTTTGCATGTTCTTATACCTACTTCTGGTACCTTTGATCTGAACTCGATGTGTATTCTAGTTGCAAGGAGGCGTAGCTCGCTCCGTCCAAAATTGAACTTTTCCCGGGTAGGATTTCTTTGCTGGCTACCTGCAAGATTACACTATGCGGTGTGAAAACACGATTCCTAAAAATTTTCACGATAGAACAAAAAACACAAACTTACCTCGACATTTTACGAGAAAACAGCTATATTCAATGCGTACTTTACGTTTACCAATGACTTTGTTTACATCAACTGAACTAAATACAACACGTATATGTGATACACGTTTCTCAAATGTCTTTAATTTCATCATCGTTATCATCATTTCAGCCAAAGTAAGTCCACTGCTGAACATAGGCCTCCCCCAAAGAATGCCAATACGACCTGCAGCGCTTGCATACAGCGGATTCCCGCAGCTTTCATCAGATCATCAGTCCAGCTTGTGGGTCGTCTGCCCACGCCGCGTGTACCGGTACGCGATCACCACTCGAGAAATCTTCGGCCCCATCGGCTAACTGTTCTGCGACCAATGTGCCCTGCCCATTGACACTTAAGTTTTGCAATTAGGGCTATGTCGGTTACTCTGGTTGTCTTGTGGATATCCTCATTACTGATTCGATCTCGCAACGAAACTCCGAGCATAGCCCTTACCATTGCACTTTGAGTGACCTTGAGCCTTCTTATGAGTCTTCTTATCACTGGCAACACAAACTGCGAAAACTTTTGTCTTCAGACACTGTGGTATTTTGGACAAGAAGATATGGCTTAATTTCCCGAACGCTGCCCAGTCGAGTCGGATTCGACTATTGACCTCTTTTTCGAAGTTGGAGTACCTAACTGGATAATTTGTACTAGGCATACATAATCGTCAACAACTTCGAGTGTAGAGTTTCCGATCTTCACGGGAGTTGGCCGTACATGGTTATTCGACTTGAGCTTCGTCTTGTCCATGTTCATTTTAAGACCGACTCTTTCGGAGGGTCTACTGAGATCATCGAGCATTGTACTGAGGTCGTCCGTGGGCTCAGCCATGACGGCTATAATATCGGCGAGCCGAAGGTGAGTGTTGTACTCGCCATTAATGTTGATGTCTGGCCCTTCCCAGTCCAGAACCCAGTACCCTCTACTAGTGCAGCGGTAAACAATATTGGGGATATAACATCTCCCTGTCTTATTCCTCGCTGCAACAGTAGGTTTCGAGTTCTGGTCTTGTAGTCGGACTGACATAGTAGCGTGTTTCTAGCGCTATAATTTACTTTGTAAAAAAATTCTGAAATAAAGCCAGTGTCCCTGCTGACCTAAGCAAAATGAAAGACATTAGTACGGGAAAAATTTGAATTCAAGCTGCGGTAGTATAAACTGTTAAGAGAAGGGATTATTGGAGCGAATAGTTAATGCATCAGAAAAGATGCTCAAGAATGCAGGATCTCAAATGACATCCTATGTTAGAATCGAATTTCGATCAGCACCTAAAAGTTCTACTGAGCTATCTGCAAATGCGTATAAGAAAATTACCAAGATATTGTTGCGTACCCTTGGTTTAATAAGGCCACATATTTAAAATAACAAGTTTCCAGGAGAGGTTTTATATAAATAATAAATAAATATGAAAAAGCGAAAAAGGAGTGCACGAAAGATCCTGTACGTCTGATGCGCCCTGGGCAAAGTCAATGTCAAATCGAATTTATTTCACAGGTAAGCAAATTATACTTGAAATCGTAATATTGTTTACACTCTACTGCTCATTTGGATTCCAATTCAAGGCAGTCCCTTGAGTACAATGAGCAAAAAACTCTAGGGGTTGTTCTTTGTAAATATATATTCCAAACATCTTAGATCGAAAATACCTGCAAGAGCTGATAAGGTCACTATCACAGATTTTTGTCATCAAAGTACGCAGAAACTGTATATAACCTTTAGAATAAAACTTTTGTTTCACTACAGCTTTAAACCTCGTATATGGCAAATTTTGAATATCACTCGGAATCGTATTATAGAAGCGTATACATCGCCCCTTAAATGAATTTGTGTGATCTTTGAAGACGACAGTCTAGCTAGTTTTACGCCAGTGTAAAGAAGTTAGTCTCACAAGTATATCATAAATGATGTTAATTTATTGCACATTCAAAGATTCATTCAAGGATTGGTAAGACCGTTTCGGATACCGGATAGTATGCTACATCTGTTTTTTTCCCTTGAGTATTGCTCAGTAGTTTGGTCTCCTTCTTATAAAATTCATAATAATATTGATCGAATCGAGGCAATCCAGAGATGACTACTTGAGAAGTTATGCTCTAAACTTGGAATTCACCGTTAACTGGTGATGTATAGGCGAGATTCAAATTTTTTAAGATTACTCTTCTACATATTAGGCGGGTAGTGCAGGACGTCTCTACTTTGTATAAAATTATTAATTACGATTTGGGCGCCAGTGAACTGTTAGGCTATGTTTCATTTAGGACCGGCAGCATGCGTGTTCAAAGACAGTTTTCGTTACCTTGCTGTACCAATAATGTCACGTATAAATAGCCCTAACTTTCGGATGTGTAGAACTTACAATGATATTTCTAGAGAGATATGTTCTTTGAGAGTCATAAAATATTCAGTAACTGTTCACTAATATTGAGTTGTGTTTCTGAGTAGTTTTCTTTTATTTTATTTATTTATTCTGTTTTTATTGCTATCAAGAATTGTAGTAAGTTTTTTTCCGTTAAGTCTCATTTTAAATAGGAAGTTAAGCCCTTTTTAATGTATATTCCTTATTCAAATGTTGTACATAGCTGTAAAAGGAATGCAAGTTGACTCACATTTTTTAAATGTATCTACATGTTATAGTTAAGTTTTCAATTTGTGTGCTGTAGCTTTGCCAAATGAACAAAATAAAATAAAGACAGGAAGAAATTCAAATATACCTAATACAAGTAGTTCATATTATTTTTATGACGTACACGTGTTTAAAGCACTTATGACGTACGATCACTTGTGACTTTATTATACCAAGGTTACGTTTGGTAGGCGGATTGGTTTGGTCGACAGTTGCTGCTGTATTATAAACAGGTCATACCGCAGCGTGAGTGGCGTAATCCGGGTCTGAAGCCAACCGCAGAGAATGCAATGTACCCATGAAATGCCGCACAAGTTCAGATTGGCGTTTTTTCGTCCAGATCGCTCCGATCACCCACGCCATTTGTAACGCGCCAGCTTCCAGTTTCTCCTGAATTTAATTAGAAATTTTTGTTTTGTTATACGTAGAGACTAAGCTTCATTGACGAACCAGGTAAGGATCTGTGTGGTCTTTTATTTGGAGACTGCTCAATTTGAGGGGAGTGGGTAGCTCATGGAATGAAATAGTGGTCATTTCTAACAAGGTCAGGTAAATGAACGAAAAGTCTGCCCTCGGAACGAAAAAAGGTACAACTGCTGTATGAAGTACGCATAGTTGTGCCTTTTCACGTTACGAGGGCAGAAGTAGTCAATCTATACTGATCATAATTCAACTGCCTCTATGGCCGAACGGTTACCATGCTGACCTGACACGCAGAGGTACTGGGTTCGATTCCCAGGCCGAGTGAAATATGTGTATGGCCTTATTTCTCTCGTGAGTTTGAGTGTAATTTATGGTTATCTATGTGTGTGTCCATGGCACCTGCGATACAAGGTTTCCCTAGTGCTATGAGTGTGGAAAAAAAATGACATTCTGCAGTGATATCCTGTAATTAAATACGTTAGTGAATGTTAATTAATTTACGTTATCATGTTGTGGCGTTGGAAGAGTTCTTGCAGTCCCATTTGTTGCATGTTACAAATAAACACTAACTGTGAGGATTCTTAAGTATTTCTACCAATTTAGAAATAATTTAGAAAAATAAAAATAGCAACATATGTAACTGGCTATGTCCTCGTTTTCTGAAAGTCTACTCGAAAGAGAGAGGCGCGTTGATTGTGATTTTGAAAAACGTGGCGTTAAAATGTAATTTTTACTACAATCAACTGGTAAAGTGTACTGGTGAATAAAGTTATCATATCCTATAAATAAACCAAAGTGGTTAACATGATACGACCTACTTCTTCGGCTGAGGGTCGAACAATCAACAATTTCTGAGGACGACTCTAGTAACAGTAGAGCTTCTTGTTAGGGTGCGTGTCCACGCTCAGAAAAGTCGCCGGGTCTATGCAAGAATTCGTGTCGTTTCTACACACGAACTGTGTACACTGCCTCGGCGCCGGACAAGAAAAAAATCTTGTCTATCCCCGACATGACGCGCTCTGCCGCTATTGTATGGGGCGGGGTGAGAGGCATTGTCAGTAAACGAACGTAACGCCTGAATCTATTAATTATTTATACCTCATAAACTGCTTTTGATATTTCTAGTTCTTTAAGCATTTTATCCATTAACTGTTTTCTTGCTTTCTCTTTTTCTGTACGTTCTCCACCTAACAAAGAAATAAGCATTGTAGGATCATGTGTAAGAGTTTTAATGCTTCCTTCTATCAGGGAGGGTTAGGAGTAAATTGGTTCGCCAAGATGCGTTCTTTTGACGATATATTCTTTTTCCCCTTTTATAATAATATTCTTTGATTAAGGACATTTTACCAGTGGCGTAGCGTGGGGTGCAAAGGGGGCCATGATCCCGGGCAGCACAGAAATGGCGGTAAATAGTCAATCCAAATCAAATGGCGGTAAATAGTCAATCCAAATCATTATTTTTTTCCTTAAAATTAGAACATAAATTCTACTCATCGAGTATATAACCAGAAATAGAGACGAAATGCCATTTAATTGGTTTGCAAACTATTCTGCCAAATCATTACTGTGACAACTGCGCTCCGATTGTCTGTGACATCAATTGTTTCATTTCAAATCGACCTGTTTAACTTGAGCTTTGCTATAATGGAGGATAATTGCAAAATGACATATTTAATAATTAATTACCGATGAAATGTAATTCCGTTTGTTTTGTATTAGATGTTTTGCTGTTTTTCCAGCACCACCGAATGGAGCAGCCCCCATTGTTAGATATATTATCTTTATTGCAATAAATACAGAATATTTTTGGAAATACGGAGACGTACACACAGGTCAAGTTGTTGGCGCTGTATTATTTCAGTTTTCGTAATTTGTGATTTCAGCGGGAACGAGAGTTGATATTTAAAAGTGATATGAGGCCCATTTACCAAACGAGTTGCCAGGTTATGGATGGCCCTTATTTCATCTCTATTTCTGGTTACAAACTTGATGATCCCACTATGTGAGAAAACGATATCCTGAACAACACAAAGGTGGCAACGGCAGGCTAACACAGAACACAACAATTCAGCCGAGCCTACCCGAACAAACTTCTTTTGCAATCGTGAAAACAAATTTAAGGTTGGCCCCGCGGCCGGCAGAAATCTCCGCTACGCCACTGCATTTCACAGAGGAATGCTAAAGGGACTGACTACTTTATCAAAGAAAAGGAGATAACCGGACATTAAAAAAAATACCATCAAATGTATTTTCAAGAAAATTAGTACTTACCACCTCCCGCCTGTATCTCCGAAGATACCGTATACATGCGGTACTCAATGTCGTGAAGACAGTCTGCCATGTCCAGTTGGTTGTCCCTTAGTTCACATAGCTAAAAACATAATAATATGTGAATGCAAAGATAATCTCAGGCATGGTACAAAAGTATTTTCAAAAGTTCATGAGTTGTAAAGCATGGACCATGTCTTCCTGCTACAATGACAAGGTACGGCCCTGGCATTGCCACAATGACGAAAATTCATTAAAGCTGTGAAATAAATAAATGTTACATGTGGAACGTATTATTTTTATGTGAAAAACACTTTTGACGTACGATTTTATTAGCGGTAGAGTTAGATTCTTGTGAGTTCGTCCAGGGAAGTACTGCCACTTTATCTATTTCTGCTGCCAAGCAGTAATGACAGCATTGCTGTGTTCTGATTTTGAAAAAGCCCGTGGGCGTAATCTAGGCCCGGTCGGCTTTGCCTTCATGTTATGACATTTCATTAGCAAGTGTGATGAAAATATGGACTTTAAAATATTTTCTGACTTTTTATCGCGGTAGAACTCCAGACTTTGTCCAAAGAAGTATGTCACCTTACCTATTTCTGCCGCCAGGTACTAAAGTGGACATAACAGCGTCCCGGTTTTGACAGGCAAGGATTCTGGTGAAATTACAGGCACATGGGACTTGTTAACTTATGTCTCAGGGTGACGGGCGCAGTGGCAGTGCCTTGCGATTTAAAGCCCTAAATGGCACTGCAACTGTTACGGACAGGCGTGTAGCTTACCATCAGATGCTCGACTTGTTCGTCCCGTCACTTGATATTATAAAAAAAAGATCACGTCCAATGGCTCAATGGAATCGAGTCAGATAATCTATAATGTGGTCGCCATGCATGTATTAGATAGATTTCATTGTTTTTCGAAATGGTCCATAAAGTTAATTGGTCAGTTGTAATAGCCAATGAGTCGTATTGGAAAATTACCTTCTCAGCGTGTTTGATAGCGGCTCCGTGGTACAGCGCAAGCAGGCCGTCTACAAGCCTCAGTTGCGCTGATCTGACGTCTATGGAACCCGCTCCAGGCATAAGAGATCTGGTTCCTTTTAGCGCTAGGGCTGTTTCGCCAGTAGTTCTGTAAAGCTAAATTGTATTAAAGACACATCCTGTATATGAGATACACCTGTATACGAGTATATTACGTATTAAAAGCGGTAAATAAGGAATTACGAACGAGGCTATTAGAAGCGCGAAGTCGAAGACTGAAGGCTTTCGGAGTCGAGGTTCGTAATTCCTGTACCGCCCGTGAAACATACAATGTTTTTCATCACGCTTGTACGTAAATAATAGGACTGCATGCAGGATAACTTGACTATAATGCCTCAAATAAAACACTCGAGCCTTTTTTCTTATTATATCCACGGTCATTTTCAATTCCTGATAAAAATATTCTAAAAAAAGTTCGTGAGTAGGTAGGAAGTTAAAAAAAAAATCATTAAAGTAATGTAATGAAAAAGCCCGTGGGCGTAATATAGGCTCGGTCGGCTTTGCCTTCATGTTATGACACTTCATTAGCAAGTGGGATAAAAATATGGACTATAAAATATTTTTATCGCAGTAGAACTCCAGACGTTGTCCAAAGAAGTATTGTCACCTTACCTATTTCTGCCGCCAGGTACTAAAGTGGACATAACAGCGTCCTGGTTTTGACAGGTAAGGATTCTGGTGAAATTACAGGCGCATGGGACTTGTCAACTTATATCTAAGGGTGACGAGTGCAGTGGCAGTGTCCCTTAGATTTTTGCGATTTAAAGCTCTGAAAGTGGCAATGCACTTGCTATGGACAGGCGTGTCGCTTACCACTACCACGAAGGGTATTTAAGGTTTATGATAGAATTTATTACCTGTTAGACATTGGTGGTAAGGGAGGCGGATGCATGAAACGTGCCATGGACGAGATGACATGAGGCAAAGTGGCCAGTCCAGGCGACCCAGCCGCCATATCGCTCACACCTGACAATTGCGCCAGAAAGCCTGTTGAGCAACCAAATCATCTATTTCTGGTAAATAAATATATGTACAGTGGAATTATATATGTCCGTCAAAGTTAATGTCAAAGTCAAAGAATCATTTCTGCCATAGGCAAAATAAATTTACACTTGAAAACGTCGCATTTAGGGCGAGGCCAAGCGAGCGTAATTTTGTGAGTTGTGAGTTGCGTTTTTTGAGTTGCTCAGCTTGCCCCGAAATTCGGTTGGAGCGCCAGACGAACGTATTTTATTTAGTTGCTTTTAAGCGTTTATACCAAAGTGACCCCTTCCCTCACCCCAACCTCCACTCGCGCTAGCCCGTCACACGATGCAACCGAAAATCAGTTGTCATTACGCCCGTGAGTCGGCAGATAGCTCGCGGCTAGAATGCAGCGCAAACTACACAACTCACAACTCTATTAATAACTATACAATTTTATACGTAATTTGTGGTTGTCTATGCGTGTCTATCTACTAATATCTTTTATAGAATCTTTCCAAACCTCTCACCTGAAAGCATTAAAACAGCCTAAATTATTCCTGTAAAACTACGATATTACCTGTGTCAATTCCGCCAGCCCTATTGTAGCTAGGTTCGAAACTTTGGATGAAAGGATTGTCTTCTCCTAAAACGGATATTAGGTCCTGCCTGCAAAAAATCACCAAAACCAAAACAAGTTATTAAATGATTAGTTGGCAAGCCATCTGCCACGCTTTGATAGATGACGTTGGTTCGAGTCCAGCCAGATCGAAGTAAATTTTTTCTAAATGTTATTTTTGTTTAATAATTATAACAAACTAGTGGAGGAATTTCACAAAAAATAATTGAATATTATGACATTCAACAAAACTTAATTACAAGTTATTAAAACGTCGGAAAAATATTCCTTTCTTAAAGCAGAATTTCTTATTACCTATGCATTCATTATTTAACAGCAGTAATGTAGCTTTTGAAGAACTTACTACATCGAATGTACAGTCAATGTCCTAAGAATCCTGAGTAGATCGGTGTGAAGAAACGTGTTAAACCAACTTAACCTTTAACCTGCGAGCCATATAATTCATTTTAATATTGCATTATGACTTTTTAAGCAAATTTGATCTTTAATTACTTTACATAAATACAAATTCCAACCAAAAGGCTGGCATTCAGATGCGTACGAATCTGGCGAATGAGCCGCGAATGTGCTGCATGTGCACTGCACGTGCGCTGCACGCGTGCTGCATGCGTGCACTTAAATGCACGAATCGCACAAGCGGCCTGCGAACGGTACGCGAACAGATCATACAACATAATGCACGTATGCAGTTCTCGAGCCTTTCGCAAACAAGCGCTTTTGCGGCGCACACGCCAAATCTGTACGCACCCTTATACACTTTTCTATTGAATGCATAAGAAGGCTTTCACAACCAAAAGATCGGCTTGGGGATCAGGTATCTTAGGACATCGACTATACATGTATTTATATTGCGACTATATTTTAAAAAATCTAAAGATTTCATACCTAATACGGTTATGTACCTACAGTTCTTTACCGTAAAGTCCTGACCAGGAAAGGTAGCACTCCGCCCAGTCTGTCAACATTGTAGAAATCCAGCTCTCCGTCGATAAATGTCCTGGCTGGCAGATGAGGTGGGATTTGTCTGCCAATGATAACATTCTAATAATTGATCAAAGTCAAAGTCAAAGATTATTTATTCCATAGGTAAAATAAATTTACACTTGAAAATCACATTTAAATTCAAATTCAAATTCAAAAAGTTTATTTCAGACATAGTAAAAAAAAAAAAAATATAAAATAAATAATAAATAATAATAAATAAATAATAAATAAATTTAAGCTACTGCTCGTTCACTACGCAGACCTCCCTGAGATGAACGAGCAAGAAACTCTAGGGACTGCTGTTTTCAAATAAACTTAAATGCCTATGCTTTGAATCAAATTTTGTGTGGATTCTGGAGCCGTGTCGTCTTTCCATACATCTTTATCTAACGCGTAGTCTTCCATTTTGTAATATGATTTTTCGATCAAAATATTTTTAATGTAGTTTTTAAACTTAGGAAATGATAAATATGATAAATATAAAATATGCTCCGGAATCTTATTGTAAAAACGTATACAGTTCCTCATAAAAGAGTTGTTTACCTTGGTTAAACGAAATCGTGGTACCATGAGTTTGGACTTACCTCTAATGTTAATATTATGGATAATATAATATACATAATTTCAATAAGAAAGAAGTCTTATTGAAATTATGTATATTTTTACGGGCATATAAAATATTTGAATAAATGTACTGGGATGCCACAGTCATGATACCAGTATCCCTAAACTTTCCTCTGAGAGAAACCCGAGAGCCTAGACGGTACACAGAACGAACAACTCGTTTTTGCAATACAAATATGGTTTGAATATCTGCCGCTTTACATTGACATTATACTATGGAAGTAACTAAAGTAAACTAGTCTAGCAGTACTAACATCGGTAAGCTCACGTATTCTGCGGACTGCGTATGCAGCGGACCTTAATCTGCTGGCCAGGGAAGATATATGTGGATGTTTTCGACAATACATCTTTCGATTTCGTAAAGATATAATACTGTTACGAAATCGAAAGATGTATTTATTTATTTATTTATTTATTTTTTTTTTTATTTATTTATTTATTTCAGGCAACTAGGACCCATAGATACATACCTTACAGACTAACATACATATAATATAACAATAATATAATAAAACAATAACAGAAATATTAAATAAATACCTTACGGACTAATCATAAATACAATATAACATGATAATATACATATAACACTATTTATTTACACGTATGTACTTCGACGTGTGACGCAACGTGAGTGTCCGGTAGCCGTCCTCGGAAACGCCGGTATATGACACCCTTCGGCCAAAAGTCTCCTCTCATGAAGGTCGACAGGTGTTGAGTTGGTACTCGCACCACAAATGAATTAAAATTCACTGTATGTATGTATATGTATTGTATGTATAGTTGTGTATATATAGTAGATGTATAGTTCCAGTGCTGGGCACGGTTTCTCACAATGAGAGGGCTTGGGCTTACAGTTCCCAAGCAGATTGGGAAGTTCACACACAACATTAAATTTTTTTGCAGATGTCCTCACGAGATGTTTTGCTTGATCGAAAAGCTCGTGGTAAATAACAAATTAAATTTCGCACATATATTCCGAAACCCAGAGGTGCAAGCCCGAATTCGAACCCACTACCCGTTGGTTGAGAGGCGGTAGGTTTACATAATGCTACAAAGGTATTTTTTCCTTTGTAGCGTTTCCTAATGAGCTTGTAATTGTTGGACGATTAACTCTACTGACACTGGCTTTATTTCAGAATTAATTTTTTAAAAACGAATTTAATGCCATTTGAAAAAGGTATTATCGCATAGTATACATGTTCTATTTAGTTCAGTTGACATTAAAAAAAATCATTGGTATAAATATGAAATATTATACAGCATATTACATATTTATATATTGAATATACCAGTTTCCTTGAAAAGTTTCGAGGTAAGTTTGTGTTTTTTTTTCTATCGTGAAAATTTTAAGGTATCGTGTTTTTACACCATATGGTAATCAGTGTATATAGATAGATAGATAGATAAAACGTTTATTTGTTACTACATTCACACGTACATAACAGCAAAAAAAAATAATAAAAAAAACACAAATAATAAAAAAACACAAAAACCCAAACAAAACAAAAAATAAACAAAAACAGCAGAGTCGCAGCACTGCTAGACACCCAGTTATGTACGTGTGCTGCAGCAGTGCAAAAAGGTCATAGCTCAGCGTCGGTGTTTACTCAAGAGCAAACCGCTGATTTTCAGCTATAACCTAGAGGTAATCGCGGATACGATAATCAGCTCGCTGACGTCATTTTTCCATTTAGTTATATTTAAACATATAATAATAATTAGAATAGAAACCAAATAAATAGGAAGATAATATAAGTATTATGTTTAAAAAATAAATTAAAAATATTAGTGATTTAATTCAAATTATATATTGTAAGTGTACAATATATAAAAGAAAAATTAAGAAAAACAAGTGAAATACAGATATAAAAGAAAATTAAATTGTTAGTGGGTTAATCATGGTTTTAATACACAATATATGCAATAGGACTGGACTGGACTGCAATAGGCTGATGATGATGATATGCAGCAAATTTTCGCCACCTAAGCAAAGCTCTGTGAAATACCCTTTTTTTGATTGTCAAGAAGAAGTTCCTTTACCTTTTCCTTGAAGGTGCGTTTAGATTTTAAAAGTCTTAAAGGTGGTGGAATATTATTCCAACACTTTGTTGCGTGGTAGCGAAAACTGCCGGTGAACGCTGCTGTACGATGTCGCTGCACGCTTAGCGGGGGACGTAACGATCTAGGAATATGGTCGTACCGTTTATAAAAGTGGGGAAATTGTAATTTTGAAAAAAGATAATCTGGATTTTTGAATTTTGCAATATCAAACATTAAAGAGGCAAGATGTAACTGTCTGCGAGATTCCATGTTGAGTATACATGCATTATTAAGAAACGGCGTTATGTGACTCCTAGGCGAAACGTCAAAAATAAATCTACAACATGCATTCTGTATGCGTTGTATTAAGCGACTTGTTTTATATAACAGTCGAGGGCCATAAACAAGGTCTGCATAGTTGAGACGAGACAGCACCAGGGACTCGCACAAAGTGATCCTAACTCCCTCGGACAATAAATTCCTAATTTTATACAAGACTTTCAGTCTATAAAAGCAACTTCTTACAACATTTTCTAAATGTTTTTCGTAACGGAGTTCGCTGTCCAACAGAACACCAAGATTTCTAGCTTCATGAGCCCGGGAAATGCTTTGACCTAAAATACTAACTACCGGTGACTTGTTTAAAATTTTCCTAATCTGAACTTTTGATCCAAGCACCATAAACTTTGATTTATTAGGGTTTAGTACTAGCGCATTTCGGACTGACCATTCAGCTATCGCATTTAGGTCTTCATTGAGCAGCCGTAATGAATCCGATATTCTAAATTTATCCTAATTTATCCTATTTTAAATATATCCTAAATTTGACTATATATGTTTTCCAAAGTGATAGAATCAACACTTTCACTGTTATGCAAAATCAACCAAAGCCATTTGAGGTAGTTTAAAGACATAAAACTAGAATACTTACGGGTTTCCAATAGGGTGTTCGCTCCACAACTTCAGTACTGCCGTCAGGAGCCGAGCATGGCAGCACCATGAGATGGAAGGGGAGTTTCTTGAAATGTTGAACAGCCTCTGAAAAAAGCGGCCCTCGCATTCGACACTTTAACATAACTTAAATAAACTATTATTATATGAGTGTGCTATTATTACTATACAAGGAGCATCTTGGCCAGCCCCTTGTCGAAGGAGGCCAGGATGTTGTACAACGTTGTGAAATTACAATTACAATACTGCCTGTAATACCTCACTGTCGTCCCTAAAACCCTTACTTAATACTTGAATATAACAATAAAATAATTATATATATATGTTCATATTAAACTGTAACAGATGTGGGTGTGCGTGTTGTGTATGTTTAAATACTTCCAAATAATTTATGTATAACTATGAAAATACATTATAATAATTAATACATATACACTATACCTACATCAGCATCTAATATATTAACTAATATATTAGATAAGTAACTGCCTCCGTGGCCGAACGGTTACCATGCCGGACTGCCACGCAGAGGTCCCAGGTTCGATTCCCGGGCCGGGAGAAATAGTTGTATGGCCTACAATTATTTCTCTCGTGAGTTTGGGTGTAAGTTGTGGTTGTCTATGTGTGTGTCCATGGCACCCGCGACACAGGGTTTCCCTAGTGCGGGGCTATGTTGAGTGTGTGCGTTATTATTTGTTATATTGTATAACAAATGTGTATAAAAAGTATAAATAAATAGGTGCTGGAAAAAGTTATTAAATATTAATAAATTAAATTTCACCAGCACCCTTACCCGCCAAGTCCGGAACGCAGTAATGCTCGCTTTACTCTATGCCGGTAGAAATAGGTATGGTAGCAGAATGCAGATATATTATTGTAAAAACAGGGTGACTGACCATGTCTAAGATACAGTTGTCCATGATGTATTTGCGGAACTTCTCCATGAAGATCTTGCGCGAAGATGGCACCATATCTGTGCCATCGGAGTTATCTAGTAGCATTAGGAGGAACTGTAGCTGTGAACAAATTTTTCCATAAAATCATTGTTGTCAGTGTTTAAGGCTTTCAAGGGTTTTCGAGGGTTCCATTCCCGGGCTGGGAGAAATATTTGTATGGCCTACATTTATTTCTCTCGTGAGTTTGGATTTAATTTGTGGTTGTCTTTTGTGTGTCCATAGCACCCGCGGTACCTAGTGCGAGGCCATAAAAGATAAAGATAAAGATCGATTTATTTGTGGAAGTAGGTACAATAAGTTCATTAGATCAGTTCAATACATTCACAGTGCTACTACAACCAGTTTCGTCGAAACATACAAATATAATTAGTGGTGGTCGCATAATGTACAAAATATTATAATTAAAAACTGTCAATAACTAGTAAACATGCAAAGAAAAAATATAATAAATGTGTGCGTTATTGTTATTAACAATAATAATTTATTTTTCAATGCCCCTCAGCTCGTTGTTTTAAAGCTCTGAGTGGTTCTGCAACTGTTATGGACAGGCGTGTCGCTTACCAACAAGCGCATGCACTTGTTCGTCTTGTCACGTAATATTATAAAAAAAGAAACACTTGGTACAATAAAATCACATGTGTACACACTTCGAAAGTGTTTCTTCGTATGAAATCGATACCCATAACATTTGCAATGCCAATCAATGCTTTAAAACACAAAGGTCTTAGGAGCACTGCCTCTGCGATCGTCACCCTTTTGTTTTGTTTGTCTAAACCGAAACGCAATGCCGCTCACATTTCTGCTTGGCGGCAGAAATAGGTAAAGTAGCAATACTTCTCTGGACTGGCTCTTTCACAAGGAGCTCTACTATACTATAAATACGATACGTCCACAATATAAGGGTTGCGCTCATCCTTCATCTGGTCCCCTGGTGATGGAAAAGACATTTCGGAATTATTCTATGTGTATGTTATGTATCCAGATTTGCATAGCACACATACCTAAAACGTCAGTTCAATGCACTTGCATTTGCGCACCCCGGAACGCGCGCCCCGTGCATTGCAACGTGACCGATGCAAAACTCGTCATTTTAATTATAATTATGAGACACTTTTCGGCCCAACGTTCCTAACATCAGACGTAGACTAAATTCCTTTAGTTAAGATCTTTTTCGTATAAGCACTTTTAGACCTAACGTACCTAACCTCAGACGTTCTTAAAATTATTTAGTTTAAGAAATACCTTTGTGGAAATTTAATATATATACATATATATACATATATATATTCATCATATTTTCTCGTCTTTACTTCATCTCCACTGCGGCCACCCTATATAATTTGTACAATAATTTCTAACACAGTAATTATGATTTCATAACAATCGTACTTGATTTATCGAAAGAACGTTTTAACCACACTGAATAAAAGCGGTTTGTGTTGTGTTAAATATCTATTGGGTTAAAAAGTCTTGCTTTTTTCAATAACACGACGCATACTCTCAATAATGCAACGATGTCCATATTTTTTTTGTACGTAAAGTCATCAAAACAACTGTAAGTATCTTTGATCTTGCTCATTCCTATTTAGCACCGGAACTCCATTTTAAGGCTGTCTTTCTACTAGAGATGTGCGACGTAGCGAGGCGGTGTGAGAGGAAAAAATCCACTAATAGGATTACTTCATTTTTCTAACCTCGCTTAGCGTAGCTCCGGTGAAAAAGTATTTGCACATACAAAATAGCGAGAGATGTGTGCGAGGGATGCGAGCGAGGAGTGTGTGTAGGAAACTAGATCTACTGAACGTATGACACTAAGGGTCGTATTCCAGAACTCTACACTCAATGCTCACTTGCCATTAGGGTCCTATTTCCAGTGCTTGAAATCATACTCAAGTCCTGACTTGAGCATTGAGTAGAGTTCTGGAATACGACCCTAAATGACACTGACACATCGCCACCGCTCAACCCACCACACCGTACTCCGCCCGCGCTTGCTGAAAAGAGTCCGTAACGCATTCTCGCATCGCGCCGTTGCACATGCTCTCACCGCCAAGCTACCTCGCACATGTCTGGTGGAAAGGCAGCTTTATAGTCCGCTACAATCACGCCGTAAATAAATTTATGGGTTAATGTCTGCCTAGATATTTCGTTACATTAACTAAAATGATTAAGTAATTCCTTTCAAATTAAAGCCTAATTATTATCAATTAACTGATTGTGGTGTCCGACAACAGTCAATTTAAAGCCATCAAGCGATCATTAACAGAAGTAAGTTATCCACAAAAGGAATTATATCTAGGCATTTGTAATCGAAACTTTAGTTTGAACACAATGAAGTCTTTAATAGTTTTTGTAATTGTTATTTTACAAATAATAAATGCTGTACCTGTACCAACAGATTATTATTACTACATGGATGAGGACAGTAATAGCAAAATGGAGAATCCAGTAACGTTCCAAATTAGGAGTGAAGGTAAAGTTAGAAATAGAAGTCCAGATTCTTCAAGATCTACAGACGATGTGAAGCAAAAATACGTTGAAAATGTAAAGAAGTTCGCAGCGAAACATGATTTTCCGGATATAGTGCCTTATGCTGCGTTTGCTGGAGATATTTGTGCAACAGGGCTTGTGAGGTTTGGTGAAATGTGTGTTGATGGCGACGCGTAGTGAAGTTTGCGTTGTGTTGTTGAAAAGAACGGGAGAAAAAACAAGGGTATTTAACCTGATGGAGGGAGAAATGTGCACAATACAAACAGCGATTATTTAGTGTTGTTGAAAGCGTTGTTTCAATAAATCAAGTGCGTTTGTGGTGAAGACAATAATTACTGTGTTATATATTGTTGTACGAGTGTGTATAAATAGAAAACGGTAATTACTTGTGTTATTAATAAATATATTTATTTATGTTGTAAGTAAATTATGATGTTTTATATGGTACGCTTGTTATCTAAATGCGTCATGGCAGTTTCTATTGACGAATTGCATCTGTATGGAGGAGAGAAAAGTTTAAATACTCTCAGTATAGAGTGTTGAAAAAACCGACCTCAAAAGTTCATGGAATTATATGCATTTGCCAAATTTTATAGAAATCGGTTATCGGAAAGTACGCGAAATTGGCGAAATTCATTCCCTAATTTGCCACCCTTAGAGGTGGAATATTTTCTTGAAATTTAAATGGGACTAATACTGAGGTACCCTCTTTCCATCAAAAAAGAATCATCAAAATCGGTTCACAAATGCCCGAGTCATCGCGTCACAAAAAAAAAATACAGTCGAATAGAAAACCACCTTTTTTTTGAAGTCGATTAAAAAATTTACATTTTTACATTGCGTACATTAATTTATCTATTTCTAATTAGACCTAAAGTAAAATAGTATAATAACCTATCAGACTTTTGAAATAACACTGTAGTATTTTGAAGACGCCATGGTAACCTGATGGTTTGATGTAGACGCAATTGTCAAGTGGAGCCACGATAATGGCATAGATGATAAAACCAAATTATTAGTGATACACTCTCCCTATCTGCCTGTGAAACAACCTCCCTGTCCAATACTCGCCCATTCATTTGATTGTATACGCAGTAATTCAAATAATTGTAGTTGCAAGCCTATAGAAAGGGTTAAATGTGTCACTTATCTCGGTATGAAAGTAGATGAACATTTTTCTTGGCCTACTCCATTGACTTACAATGCCTACTCACATTGATTTTGTTTATAATAAGCTTAGAACATTGTTGGGCAAGTTCTACCATTTAAGTTTTAAAGTACCAGCCTGCATATTAAAGTGTTTATATATGGCATTGGTTGATTCCATACTAAGTTATGGTCTAGATTGTTATGGACTTACATTTAATTCATACACAAACAGATTTGAAAATATGCAAGTTACGTTTTTGAAACTTCTTGTAAACAATAAAAGTAAAGAAAAATGTAATGGAGACTACAATAAATTATTTAAAATTTGTAAAATCCTACCTGTTAGCTTAAAACACAAATATCTGGTAGCTGTTAACAACTTTGGAGCACAGCAGCGTAGCTCTTTTTTGTATCCTGTTATCAATAACTGTAGCACAAGGTCAATGACCTCTGGTAAATTTGTAGTACCAAAAGTCAATAATTACTATGGAGATAGAACTGTAAAGAAACGTATTCCATACTTACTAAACAGTTTGCCTGAGGTTATTGCATTTGAACCTAAGAAAAGTAAATTTAAACATCTTTTGTTCCAGCATTTGTTGTCAAACTTAGAGTAGATTATTGTTAAAATACGTGTTAGGAAAAATATATGATCCCACAGTCAACTGAATACTCAGTTTTGTGGGACTATGTATTTACCTAAAGTAAACTGTAATGTTTTTAGATATTTTTAACTTAACTTTATTATTTTAACTGCCTCCGTGGCCGAACGGTTACCACGCCGGACTGCCATGCGGAGGTCCTGGGTTCGATTCCCAGACTGGGAGAAATATGTGTATGGCCTACATTTATTTCTCTCGTGAGTTTGGGTGTAATTTGTGTGCGTCCATGGCACCCGCGACACAGGGTTTCCCTAGTACGGGGCTATGTTGAGTGTGTGCGTTATTATTATTATTATTATTTTAAATAAATAATAATAAAACGCGGCAAAGTGACAAATGGTCAAACATCCACTTTAAATAGCAAAAGATAGAGCACAAAATTCTCTATAAAAACAGTTAAAATTTTTAACGTGTTCGGCTTACCGGAACTTACCCTAACGATGCATAGTTGTAATATCATTAAACAATTCCAATATTCAAAGCTGGGTTATGGTTTTTATATGATATCTCAAAAAAATATTTTTCACTTAGCTGCGTTTTAGTTACTGGACGGCAGGTTTGACCGAGACCTTGGGTTCGAACTCGAGCTCGCACGGAACTTACATGCGAAATATAATTTAATGTAATTTAATTTTACCATGAGCTTTTCGGTGAAGGAAACATAGTGATGAAACTCGCACGTCCAACGAAGGTGTCCAACCCTTGGAAAACGTGTGAAGTCTCGAACTTGCATTGCACCCTCGTGGCGGTTTGCGGCCTAAACCCTCGCCTGAGAGGAGACCCGTGCCCAACAGTGGGACGCATAAATGGGCTGATGATGATGATTTTGAAGATATTATTAATGTTTCGCAAAATTGCCGCTGTGTGTAAATTTATTTATTTATTTATATTCAACTTACAGCTATCATTACTGGTTGTACCTAAAGCGATAGTGTCGACGACAAGCCTTATTTAATGAACTTTAATTTAGATAGCAAACTTAATAACTACTTAAAAATTATTATTGTTATGGTAACTCAAAACCCACAAAGCCGCTTTAACGCATTCGTTCAATGAACAACAGAATATATCCACGAAATTAGTGATAACATTTAGGTTACACAACGTTCGGGTAAAGGGTGCATCTTTTAATAAGTTCGTGCGCGTTCGCGGCAACGCGAACAGATGGAGGCTGTCGCCGCCGCCACACGTATTGGTCCGGTGCACACAGCCCTACCAACTGCAACTTTGTGTTGTTAAACCTTGAATTTTTTTAACCTGGTGTATAGTTTGTCTTTTTTGAAGATGGAGTAAAATGACAGTTCGTTGCGCAAAAGTGTTGCCCACTTGCGAGCAGCCAGTGATTGCAATCGATAGGTAGGTTTTCTATCGACTATCGACTATCGACTGAATGTTGGTTACTTTCATTTATTTATTTTTATTTATTTATTTAAAAGAAGATCGACAGCTTAAAATTAAATTAAATAGTATTAACAACAAGTGAGAGCCAGTTAAAGGTCCCTCACAAGTAAAAATATTATAAGAAATCTGGGTGCACAATTTAAAACATAAAAAAAGAAGAAATAAAATCCACAGAAGTTGTAAGCCTTGCCAAGAGTCAAGAGTTACGTTTATGAAATAAATAGCCGAACTTGTTTCATTTGGATCATCATCGGCCCATTATTCGTCCAACTGTTGGACACAGGTTAATTTGAATGGTTAAATTTAGCAGTATGTGTATAAAAAATACAAATAAGAGACATATTTTAAAGTTTTTCATTTGTATTTAATATATATAACCAAATCTAACTGTCGTTATTAAAATGAGTATGACTAAAAATTGATTTCGATACTAATAGACCAACTGTCAAAATAAGAATAAAGAATACAATAACGAATGAGTAATGATTAGAACGTCACAACTTTCACAATTCAGACATTTTTGACAAAGTTGTACCTACTTTCACAATCTATCGATAAAACTGTCAACAACAATTACATGACATTACGTGACGAAAACTTGCAACCCCGTAATTGTCATTTTACTTCATCTTCAAAAAAGACAGTCTAACTTGTTTTTGCATTATTTATGTACGAAATAAAAGTTTGTTTTCACTTTTATAATCATTATCATTTCACCTCACTAGCTCGGAAAGGCTTCCTTTCTCATTAGAAATCTGCGCGCATAAGCAATTTACTCGTTAG